GCCTGATTTGTTTGCCTGCGGCTTTTGTTGTTGCTCCCAGCTAACGTCATTCATCGAGATCTCAAACCCAGTAACATCCTTGTTAATTTAAACTGTGATGTAAAGATTTGCGATTTCGGCTTGGCACGGGGAGTCAGCGGCAATTCCAAGGAGGCCAAGACCAATATGCAGCAGGAGCAGCAACAGGAGCCAACGTGCTCCCCTTCTGACCGCCTCACAGATTCGCAGTTAAGTGTAATGGAAACAGATGGGTCCCAGCAAGCAGCCCCTGCTTCGTTGCCCGGAGGTCCCAACAAAGCTGCGGGTCCTTGTTCCCGCTTGGTGGGTCGGTCTTCGTGGGCTTCTCTGCAACGAGCAATCGAAGCGGCAGCAAGCCCTGCTAACGAGGTAGGGAAGGCCCGTACAAGAGCCACGATTGCTTTTTAGTCGAGGGCTGCCATACACCGTTGGTGCTTTGTCGCATACAAGAAACGCGCTTCATATGCACTTGTATGCTGGTTTTTGTTTCAGGAGATGACGGATTATGTCGTCACCAGGTGGTATAGACCGCCAGAGCTGTTGATCTTTCCCTATCACTATTCCAAGCCGGTGGACATATGGTGAGACATTTGCTGAATTTAAACATTCAACCGCTTACAATTTCAGATCGAATTTGTCCTGGTTTTTGCATGGTACTACAGCAGCATTTCTTCGCGCCGCGCTGCATGTTCAGAGTGGGACAGCCACAGGGGTCTACCAACTAGTGGCACCTTCAGCCCTGCCAGTTGCGCTGCAGCAGACTGTGCTGCTTCCTTTGCTTGTGTTTTTGGACAGGTCTGTGGGTTGCATAATGGCTGAGCTCTTGGGCCGTCGCGCACTTTTTGCAGGTAAGGATCAATATGACCAGCTTCGCCGCATCATTCGAATATGCGGCTCTCCGTCAGAGTCCGATCTATCATTTCTGCTGAGCGCCAAGCTAGAAGAAGCCCCTGGGGGCAAGCCGACAAAGCGAAGAATGAAAATAAACAGACAATTTATAGACCAGCTTCCCCACTCAGATGTAGGTTCCACTGAATCTTTACGTTTTTGGATCAGTCTTTGTCCGCTTCCTGTTCCATGTATGCATCCACGCTTTGCTTGTGAGCACATTCTATGCATGCTTGCCTGCAACAAATGTACGGGATGATGAGCGCTCCTACGTATCATGCTGTTACGTGACAGAGCCCTTGTGGTTCATGTTTCCATGCAAAACTTGTGTGTGTGTGTTTTTGAGTTGTTGCAAGGTTGCTGCTGTTTGTTCCGTTTTTAGGGAATCTCGTTTTCGTCTCTGTTCCCAGGCGCCTGTCCCCAGGCCCTGGACCTCTTGCGTCGGCTACTGACGTTTAACCCCAGCAAACGTATAACAGCTCTTGAGGCCCTCCGCCATCCATACTTCCGGGTTCGTTCAATGGCCCGCTGTTATTGCAGCCCACCATCTGGGCTTCTTCTGCGACTATTCGTTTTGTGCACGCGCTAGAGCGTGTTACTTTCCTGTTTGGCTTCATGGGCTGACGCCTGCATGTTTTCGTGCGTAGCATGGAAATAGTATACTGGCACTTGATGCGGTCTGTGACTTCGGCAGACGCGAGGAACCGGTGTATGTACAGCTTAGTGCATTGCTACGGTGTGTGTGAGGCTTCAGGGTTTGTATTGTCAAGAAGACGAGCCCAAAGCCACCCAGGCGATGGACTGGTCCTTCGACAGCTTTGTTCCCACAAAGAGGCAAGAGCACCTTACCACAGCCTCGTTCCCTCACGGATATGGAATTTAAGTAGAATGATGCCCACGTAGTGTGGCTGCAGTATTTTGAATACTGGTCTCCCAAAGAGGAGGCGGGTTGTGTGGCCAGCGCAACAAGTCAACCAGCTGGCGAGCCAGGCTAGATCGATTGCTGTGTGTGATGCTGCTCCGTGGATTTGTTACAGACTGCTACAAAACATGATTTACAAGGAAATTCTCTCGTTTCACCCCAACATCGCCCTGAGGGACAGAGCTCTGCTCCAGGCACGGGGCGTATCTACGCAGCAACTTGTGCCACTGCTGCCCAAACAGCTGGCAGCCTCCTTGCTTCAGTTGGACGAGGAGGAACAGAGGGAGCAAGAGCAGCAGCAGCGGGAACACGAACAAATGCTGCAGCAGCAGCTTCAGCAGTACCTACAACAGCAGCGGGAGCAACAGCAGCAGCAGCAACAGCAGCAGCAGCAGCAGCTACTGCTGCAGCAGCAACAGCAGCAGAAGCAGCAGGAGGAACAGCGGCAGAGGAACCCTCTAGCCCACCGCTCTTGCTGCAGCGCCCCGGCAGCCTCGTCGACTGGAAGCGCGAGAGAGGACGTGCCTCAACAGCCACTGCTGCCAACAGCATCGGCACAAGCAGCGCCAGCAGTAACAGTTCGCCCTGCTCCAACTTCAACCGCCGAAAACAACCGGCTTCTTGCGAACAACTTAAGCGGGGTCCCTCCACGGGGCCCCTTGACCTCTTCATTCGGGCTGGCCATGAACGCGCAAAAGCAACAGCAGAACCAGCAGCAGCTTTTTGAAGGACTCCACGTCAGCAGCTGCCTCGCACACCAGCAGCTTCTGCAGCAGCACAGACAAGCCCTACTTCTGCAGCAGTCTCCCTATTGCCCCGCGCAGCAGCAAGCACGTCAGCGGTTGACTGCAGCAGCAGCAGCAGCAGCAGCAGCAACAGGGATCCCTCCAAGACACTCCATCGGGGCCATTGTTCAAAAATCTGCTGGGCTTGGGAGTCAGCAGCCTCCGTCGGTTGCAACAGCGCCTGCTATTTCCTTTGCTCAGCAGCATTGCCATCAGCAGCAGCAGCAGCAGCAAGAGCAGCATTTCTCGCCCCAAATGTATGTGGGTTTATCGGTTCCTCAGCAGAGCTTAAAAAGGCAGGCTACAGCTGTTGCTGCACACAGCAGCACGGTCTGTTCTCCCGTGCAGCACCAATTTACAAGCTTACAGCTTTCTGACATGCTTCAGCTGCAGCAGAAGCAGCTGCAGCAAAAGCAGTTGCAACAGCAGCTAGCTAGCAGCTGCTGCGGCAACTACTGCTGCGACAACCGCTGCGTTGCTCCTTCAACTGAGGGAGACAGCGCAGCGTCCTCGGGGAGCAACAAGCCCCTCCGGCAGAACATAAGCAGCAGCACAGCAGCAGCAGTAGATGCTAGCTCTCTCCGTAACTGGACCACTGGCCACAGCAGACAACAGAGCCGCTGCAGCAACAGCAGTGACAGCAGCTGCTGTGCATCTTCTTGGCCCTCAACAGGCAGCCGCAACACAACCCGATCTTCGTTTGGAGGAGACGCCGCCTTTGGGTCAGGTGAGGGTTACCCGCAGCAGCAGCAACAGCCACAATTGCAGCAGCAACTGCAGAAGCAACAACAACTGGCTTTTCTTCACCGCGTTATGCAACAACAAATGGCCCGGCAGCAGCAGCTCATTGAGCAGCAAAAGTCACAACTAAGTAAGCAGCAGCTACAGAAGCTGAATCTTGCGTGTTCACCGACACCTCAATTGCAGCGACAGTTACAGCAGCAGCTGCACCAGCAGGGCACCAGGCTGCGAGCGGGATCTGATTATGGAGGAGTCGGAGGTGAAAGAACTGCAACCGAAGCAGCGGCTGCAGCAGCAGTCAATGCACGATGGATGCTGCCGACTCAGCAACAGCAGAAGCAGCAGCAGCAGCAGCACTATGCTTCGTAGATACAGGGGTCCGAGCAACATGACCTCAGTATGAGGCGAGCAGCAAGAGTTGCCGCTAGAGCTATCTGCAGCAGCCGCTGCACTACCCGGCTATGGCTCCTCTGTAGCAGCGGCAACAGCAGCAGCGGCAGCAGCAACAGCACCAGCTGCAGCCAATTTTTTTGCTGCTTGATGGCACAGCTGTACGAGTCTGGCGTATTGCTGGCTCTATGGGCTGCAGGTAATAAATGTATACATTTATCCAAATGTATTCACAAGAGTGCTCATGAATTCATGTTAGTTTATTTTTGGTTTTTTTCCTGCCTGCCTCGTCACTTTGTTCGCACCGAAAAAATAAGGCGGCGTTCCGCAACCTGCACAGTAGCTAGCCATAGCGGCGAGTAGCACCGCGAAAAATATAGAGCTCGTAATTCCAAATATAGAATTCGATGGAAAATAAAATTCGCATGCCATAAGTCTTCGGTCTTACAGGATGCTATCGTTCAGAACTCACAAAGAAGGCTCTTCCGTGGAGTGCATACCTGCCAGCATGCCACAGTCCGCAGCTACGTGCCTAGATAGGTATCTAGCTTAACTATCCAGCTGTCTGATCTTGCACATGCTTCCCTGGTTAGAAGTTTAACTAAAATAACTACGCCTGGGCCTATCGGCACGCCAAATGCATTGCAAGCACCTGCAGCTCCGCTGCAGGTGCTTGCTATGCAAGGAGGAATTGCCTGCAGCTGTGCTGGCCCAAACAGTGGCGCTAGTACAATGCAGATGTTCGCTTGTATTGTCTGAAGTTGGTAAGCACTTCTCGTTTGTTATCATGCACTTATTTTCCATGTAGTAGCGGCACTTGAGCGCCCTCATAAACCTAAAGCTTTTCAGGACAGCACCCCAGGCAGCGCCGTTTTCGCGACGGCAGCAGGCAAATATAGAAAGCCTCAACGCTGAATAGTAAACCCTAAAATAGAGCTGACTGGTGGCCCTAAAGGCCACCCAACAAACAGCGACCGCAGCACAAGCCGCACATGCATTATTGTAATGGGATCCGTACCAATGCATGCACGCTACAAAAACAGCTACAAGCGAATAGAGCCCAAAAACTACCTTGAGAAGCTCTCGTGGGGTCTTTTACAACTCAAATTATGGGACTTCGGATTCCAGCATTGCAGCTTGTGGCAGCTGCGTGATTTTATGTCCACGCCTCACCTGCAATGCTCCTCGCCCTTCATGATGGTCTCTGGGCGTCCCTACAGGTCCACCCTACGTAGTGAATACACTTCGCGTTAGCTCTAGGATGTGTGCTGCTGCCCTGCTGAGTTCAGCAATATGACAGCGACGGTAGTGTCGTCATAAATGCGGCGGCGCTGCTTCGGGGGGGCAGAAAGGGCAGCAGCAATCGACATGCCGCGTTCCGTTGCTGCTTTCCGCATGACCTCTCGCACAAGACTGAAAAGAAAACACAACAAACTTACGATGGAGGCAGTAACAGAAGGATGTGACGGCAATAGCGTTAGCAACAGCAGCCAGAAGGATAGTATACTTGCCAGGCTGCTGCAGCTACAAGAAGCAAGCATCTTTCTTTCTCGCCATTACTCACGCGTCTGCCGCCCTTTTTGCCAAATCCGTCATCGTGCTGCCGCTGCTGCTGCTGCTGCTGCTAAGGGATGACCTGACAACTGCTGCTGCCTCCGCAGGACTGAGGAAGTCCCAGAGGCCATCTGTGCCGACCACCACAAACTGATCCGCTTCCGACTTTTCAAAAACTTGTGTTTGTGGGTCCACTATTACATAGGGAAATGACCAGGTCTCTGTTCCTGCCGCTGCTGCCGCTGTGCCTGATGTTGCTTCAGCCGCTGCTGCTGCACTGCTGCTGGTGCACGGGGGCCGCCGCCGTCTACCTCTTTGCAGTTCTTCAATGTACTTTTCGTTTTTTAGCATGAAATCCCCAAAGGCCCTCGTCGGCTGCAGCCGACCCTTCACATAACACGAGCCCCGCTGCGTTTCGCTGCCTGTAAATACACAGCAAAAGTGCTCGCCATGGAGGTGTAAAAACGCAGCATCTTCTGCAACATGAATGCTTCCAGCAATCGCTGCTGCAGCACCTTTGGTGATGGCCGTTGTGGCTGATATAGTTGCAGATGGTTCATATCCCACTGCAGTAGCTGCTGCATACGCATCAACTGCTACAGCGGGGCTTGCAGCATTTGCACTAGAAGTAACCACTGTTGCAATACCAATGAATGCAACAGGAGACACGGCGGACACTTCCATATACTCTGCAATTCAGGTCAAAGCCCCATCTAGGCTTCGCGTACACAACAACTGAGGCAGAAGAGATAGCACTGACGTCTCGCGGTGCTCACCCAGAAGGCCAACTGCATGAAGAAGAGAATGGAATGCGTTTTGGGGCTGACGCGGCTCAAGCCACTCCCGCTTACAGATTACCTAAAGTGAGTGCACTCCAACACGAATGAGAGCATATCAACAAACAACTAAAGCAAAAGCGGCGGCAGCAAATGCGGCCGAAAAAATATTTGTGGCAAATAACAATCGGCAGAGCTACGGAAGCAGCAGCAGCAGCGATCAAACAGCAGCAAAACACTACATCTTACAACATCATCTTCCTTTGGATGCAGCTTCTGTAGCCGTTTCCTTTCATCTGGGGAGTTTGCGTTTTGTTGTTTGTTAAGCTCCACCAGCTGACTGCTGCTGCTTCCGCTACTGCGCTGCAGCACAGCCATGCAGTCGCCGCTGTTCGCTACAACGATTCCTTTTTCCGTGAAGAGGAGAGCCAAGCAGCAAGCCCCTACCTGCAGTCACGCCCCAGCCCACGCCGTGGCGACGATAAGCACAACTCTACTGCGTCACCAACCCAAGAGTGCCGGTGCTGCAGTTCACGTTTATCGGACAGTAGCAATGGAAACAGCAACAGCAACAGCAGCAGCAGCACGCTGAGGGCTTGCCTTAACACTCCTTTTTATTCCTAATGAATACGCTGCTTCCACAGAGGCACCAATGGCTTCGTCCTGCAAAGAAAGCAAAGGAATACGAATCCGGCAGGGCAGCTGCAGTATTAGCCCCAATAGCAGCAGACAGCTTTTAGGAGGGAACGAGCTTCTCACCAGTCGACAGAAAGCTCGGGCCAGTGCCTTCTCTGCAAACTTGAGGTCCGTTCCGTCTCCAGCAGCTAATTCAGCAGCTACAAAGCGAGGCAAGTGTTGGTGTACGTACTCGGCTGCAGCAACAACAGAGGGAGCAGCAACACCACGAAGAAGCCTTGCCAGTGAGAGAAGTGTACAAACAGTGTACTAAGTGAGAAGATGCATCTACTGCCGCCCTTGCAGTAACATCTGTGGCTGAAGTTGCTGATGAACATGAAGTAGCGTCATCTCACCAACGTCTGGCCCTCCGTGACCATCGACAATGGCCACAAGGCAGCGTGGCTTCCATGGACTGCCCCGACTCGAATCCCCAGACTTCTGCAGTGGCTGCAACACAGACCCAGCAGCACTGCCAGGAGCAGCAGCAGCCGCACCAGCTGGTGGAGCATCATTCGGAAACAGCTGCTGTGCAAGCGCCATTAGCTGCTGCTGTGCTGTTGAGGCTGCTGCTGCTGCGGTGAGATGCGCTGCTGCAGCTGCTGGTTCGTCGGGAGAAGCAGTAGAGACAGCAGCGAATACTGCCCTGTCTTCGACGGGGTAATTCGCTGCTACTTGAGATACGCCTGCTGCAAGGCCGAGCTGCTGCAGCGCCTGCTGTGTCGAGTGTACAGACAACGGCCAGGCACTTCTAGGCTCTCCCACCATTTGTTGCAGCAGCTGCAGGTCCTTTTCGTCGGCCTGTTGGGGCGCCTGCACTTTCTGCTGCTGCTCCTGCTGAATCTGTACCTGCTGCAGAAGCTGTGGCTGCACCTGCTCGCACCAAGCAGTGGGCTGCTGGTGCAGCGCAGCACCGCGAAGCAGCCATGAGGCGCCTCTCTTCTCTTTGAGCTGCTTCTGGCTGCATTGATTCTGCTGGAACAGCTCTTGTAACAGCAGAGGGGGAACAGCAGCAAGAGCAAACCCAAAGAAGAGCCTGCGGAAACGAGATGAACTGACCGTATCTGCAGCTGCCGCTTCTGCTGCTGCTGCTTCGCTTACAGCCGTCGTTCCCTGCCTTGATCCTACTCTCTCCAGAGACCTCGAGAAAAAGTGCCTTTGGTGCAAGCGGCCTGATAAAATACCTGCAGCAGCCGCAGCACCTGCTGCAGCAACGGCTGAAACACCAGCAGCAGGGATGTTACCCTGACGCAGCAATGGTGGCTGCGCCTGCTGGACGGCCACACGCCACGCCCTCACTGCAGCAGTTCGTTGCAGCAGACCTAACCGAGACGCGTGGCTGTTTTTTCTGCTGCAGTCGTAACAACCATTCACGGGCTTGTCAGCAACAAAAGCCTTCTCTGGTGCTGTTGCACTTTTATTTCTGCCGCTGCTGCTGTCCCCGATCCGCCTCATGTTCGAGACCGCAAAAACAGCTGGTGCTTGCTGCCCCCTCTGTGGCTGCATATTCCCCAGCGTTAGTGCCATACTGTCCTAAAAGATCCTCCTAAGCACCGCAGCGGCAGCACAAAGTTGTGGCAACAATGATAGCACGAGAAGGCCCTCTCATAGAGTCCCGGAGAGACAAGTATGTCTGGATGACTACCCTGAAGCACCTAGGAGATGTGGATTTGAACAGAGTGCAGGATTAGAACTCCTGCCCGCTTAGTAGCTGCAGTTGCAGTTGCGGTTTGTGCTCCGGTCGGTTGCTGCAGATGATACAGTGGGGATAGTTGCAGTCAGCGACAAAAAAGCAGACATAGAAGACGCCAAATGCACCAGCTTAATTAGCAATAGAGGCACTGCTACTGCTCCTAGTGTAGCCACTGCAGCAGTAGCGACAGCCTCGTCGTGGCATGCAAATACTGGCAAGTAGACGGAAAATCTACTTGTCTATGTCATGTTCATTACGCGCGCGAGGCGTATCTCCAACACATGCTGCTCGTTTAGCCATTCCAGCAGGCCCAGTAGGCAGGATACAGAGGCTGGGGCCCCCAGACAGACCCGTCGGCGCCTCCCGGGGACCCTTGAAGAACTGTGTTTGAGAAGCTGCAGCATGAAGAAATTTGACCACTTAATATGCCGAGCAACATTTTTGTTGCTTCGGCTGCGGCGACAGCGCGTAGCTTCGCTGCTGCTGTCGCTGTTGTTGCGGTTGTTGCTAATGGCAAGGCCGCGACTCCATGCGGAAGCTCTTCAGCACAGCAGCAGCAACTGCTGCTGTTGTGAACTTAACTGTTAGGCAGAAAACCGTTGCATCGGTTTCTGTTTCCGTTCAGTGCCCAATAGTAGTTCGAGCATCGCCGGCAGTAGCAGTACGAGCACTACAGTCGGCTGCAGCAACCGCATCGCCAGCAGCAACTGGTGATGGGCTCCCTTTTAGTATCAATACAGTATCTCTTGATAGGGTGCATAAAAGAAGCTGTGCTGCGATAACGCTTCTGAGAAGAGGCTTTACCCACGGTGCACAAGCGAGAAGCACAAGACAGCTGGGAGCAGCAGCACTACGGGCAGCACCACCAACAACACCGGCGCAAACAGTGTGTCCCTCTGCTGCTACAGAAGGCTGCATTATAAGGGCTCTGCGCCGCGCTGCATCGCGAAAGAATTCCCTGTTGCAATTTCAAGCGGCTGCTGCGGCCGCGATCTCTGCTCTGCAACAGCGGCAGCTGCAGCCGCGAGAAGCCGCACAGGTGCTGCAGGTGTTATCGAGACACCAGGAATTGCTGCCACGGAAGATCTGGAAAGATGCAGCAGCTGCACTTTTGCCGATGTTGCAACAGCAGCAGCATTTAGCAAACCCACAGGAAAGCGTCACTCGCCGCTGCTGGGGCCGACAGCAAGAGCAGCAAGAGCAGCAGCAACAGCACGGCGAGATGTATGACAGATCTGTCCAGGAGATAAAGCAGCAAGCACACGGGAAAGAGAACAAAGCGCAGCAGCTACTGTCTGCGGGGGACCTTGCATGGATTTTGAACGCATTCGCTCGAGTTAACCACAGGCCAGCCCTCGTTCTTCAAGAGGCTCTACGCTTACTTTCCCCTGAAGACGCAGCACAACAGCTGCACGGGAGACAGAAGCAAGCCGATAAGAACTATACTGAGTGGTGCAGTCTTGGACGTGGAGCGTTCGTGCAGGCTAACGCTAGCGCTGAGCAGCAGCAGCAACAGCAGCAGCCGCAGCAGCAGTTGCGGGTAGGAGCTGAAGCCGCTGTTGCAGTGCCTGAAGCTTCAGAAGCGACTGGTAGCGCTGCTTATATGGTTGCTGCTAGAGAGAGATCAGCTGGAGAAGCAGCGGACTCCACCATATGGGAAATTAAAGACGGAGAGGTAGCTGCGGCAGCAAAAGTATCAACTGCTGCGGCTTCTTTATCATCAGCAGTTGAAGGAGCAGCAGCGGCAACGGCAGCCGCTGCAGCAGAAGCAGCTGGAATAAACGTTCCTTCATTGGGGGCACGAGGAAGGGATGCTACAGCTGCAACGGTAGCTACTACAGCAGGAGCAGCTTGCCCTGCATTTCCACCGATGCCGGAGCAACTTCACAGCACAGTGCCTACCAATGCTGCAGTTGATGCCGCGGCTATTTTCTGTACAAATAAAGATACAGTGGTGTTGCTGCATGCTGTGTCCAAGCTGCAGATGGAGGCGCCCTTGCTGCTGCAGCAACTACGGCAGTGGCTGCTGCAGTCGCTGCACGAACTTTCGCCAGTGCAGCTCTGTGTTGCTGTGCATGGATTAGCTGCAGCGAAGCAGGCAACTCCTCAGCTGCTGCACAGAGTTGCATCTCATTTGCTTCAGCCTCTGCAGCTGCAGGAAGAACCGTCTATAGAGCAGCAAAGGCGATATGGGGGTCAGAAGCAACAGCAACTGCAACAGCATCAAGCGCAACAACAGCAGCAACAAGAAGAAAGAACACAAGAGCAGCAACATGGACGTCTGCGGCTGCATGAGTTGGATGCAGGAGGCGCCATCATGCTCTTGTTGGCACAGCTGAGAATGCACCAGGCAAATGGGCGGCTGTGCCGCGCTGTGATGCAGCACATTCTGTCGATCGGAGGCAGCAGCAGTAAAGGCAAAAAGGGGAGCAAGAATAAGGAGAAGAGCCGCAGTAACGTTTCTTCACTTCAAACAACTGAGCTTGCTGCTGCTGAGGAGGCCTGCAGCCTGAGTAGCAGGAGCAGCAGCAGCGCCACCTCGTCTCTTCTACAGCACCTGAGTGGGAAGGAGGTTGCTGTGCTGCTAGTGCACCTGGCGAGACACCACAAGGTACACACAGAAGCAAATCTTCAGTCCATAGCAGCAGAGGGCATCATGCTGCTGCCAACCCTTGGAGACCGTTCGCTGCTGCTGGCAGCACATGGCCTCGCGCTGCTGCTCCCGCAGCTGCAGGAGCAAACAGACGGAGCATCAGCAACACTACAGCAGCAACAACGGCGGGTTGCTGCTGTCGTTTCTTCTCGATTTGCTGCGCATCCCCCTGGGGGATGTCAGGGTTTCGCTCTGCTCCAGGTTTTGCATTTGTTGCTCAAGGGGCATTTGCAGCAGAACTACCCTCCCACCTGCAGCAGTCTGTTACAGCACCTGCAGGCCCTGCTTGCTCGACATGTCCATAGGCTGAAAGACGCGCAACTAGCTGCGGCTGCTGCGGCGGCTGCTGCTCTCGGTTGTCTGGGCAGCTCCTTAAAAGACGAGTTCATCACTGAGGCGGCGTGCCGCCTGAACCGTCTTAACCGGAGGCATGCGGCAGCCCTTCACAACGCACTGCAACCGAATCAAGGGCTGCAGCAGCAGCAGCAGCAACAGTTCTACGCAGCGGACTTGAATCTAGAAGAGGATGAGTGGCTGTTTGACTCTACTGAAGACTCTCAGCCAGAGGCGGATCGACAAGAGCAAGAGCCCCTGCTGCTGCAGGAGCTGCAGCAACAGCAGATGGCTGCCGATGCTGCAATTGAAGGTACTCTGGAGGTATTACACTGCCTCTCGCTGCGTGCGCAGGGCCTTCCAGCTTGGTCTCAAGTGCCTCCTTGTAATTCTGCGAAGGGCTGAAGTAAGATGCGAGCTAATGCGTTTGCTTGTCAGTCTGCACTGGCGCCACTGTAAGCACAAAGGGAGGGAATCGCGAAAGCTGTCCAGCTGAAATTGAACACTGTAGCAAATGAGACAGAAGATAGAGGAAGGCAGCATTCCTGGTGCACTCATTTCGGCATTCACAAATAGCGTCCATACTGTGCATGCTATGCATTTACGACTGAGGATACCCTTAGCCAGGTCATAAGCTGCCTCCGCGACTACTGCTTGTATTGTTGCTGCTGTTTGGAGGTGGCTGTGAAAAAGAACGCCCAAGCGCCACGGTATCTCTCTCTCTCTCTCTGTGTGTGTGTGCGTGCGTGCATGTGCGTGTGTTTTGCCCTCACCTTTTTTTCTGGCTATGTTTCACTCCCTCTCTATTTTTTCAGCTGGATCTCCAAGAATGTTTAAGCAAATGCCCTTTTATGGGCTGGTTTATTTGGATTTGATTGTGTTAATGTGCTCTGTATCACAATGCCGAATTGGGATCTCGTTCCAGGCACGCCTAAACACACTTCAGGCTTCAAGGGTTGGATTAGAATTTATGGAGGCAGAGGGCTGCACTAGTAAGCTGGCCGCAAACAGGAGCAGCAGCAACGCAGTTTGCTGTTGGTACTGCTATGACTCCTCTTTGAAGGAAACAGCAGGAATTTAATTTTTTTTGTTTTTTGTCGCTAGTGATCCTTCCGTTGCTTATGTAATTCCTCAGCCTAGCTGCGAACCCCGCGGAGCCCGATACGCATAAAATAAACAACACTAGTGCAACTAAGAAAAGAATGGATCAAATATGTTTGATGGAAGGGGCCCATGATGACCATAGACAGAAGGGCTTGCCCACGTGACAGCAAAAGAAAGGCTGGCACCGTCGCTAGGCAAAGCAACAGGGATAAACTGTGGCTTCGTCGCTCCCCTGGGCGTCAGTGCCCAGAAGCTTCTACACCGTCAGCACTTTCGGAATAGGTATGAGCGCTAACCGCCTTGAGGCTGCCACGCAGGGGGTTTGCACCCTCAGTGGCGACCCCTGCCCACGGAATTGCCTCTGGCGTCTTGCATTCTGTTTCTCTGGGCGCTTGGGACACTTCCCTGGAAGTTAATTTCCCAAACATACTCTCTAGCCAACAGTGGCTCATGAAACAAACTAATGGTGATGACGTGAGGACGTTTTGTCAGCGGTGCATTGTTGGCTTCTTCTGTTCCTCTCATGCTTGCAAGGCGAGGATGATAGGGCCCCAGCAACTCTAGATTTAGATACCTTACTGAGGCATCTCTAGGCACCCTTATACACTGTAGGATATCCGAGTCATGCTGTTGTTGCCTCAGGAGATAGGTTAATTGTTTGCCTAAACCAGCAGCAGGCTACTGAGAACTTTGGCCCTATATGCCATACTTTTGTCACGCTAGGGTAGCTACGTGCTTAGCTGGCCGGAGGACGTCTTAAATAGTTGTTATCTTGCAGCTATCTTACTGAAGGTGAGGCATTTTAAGCTTGTCGGACCTCTTTCCAGCTAACTAAAATTAGCGGCAGCTTAAACGTTGTGACCAAAGAAGACAAATATTGGCCGAAGCTCATCCTTGCTGTCAATTGCTTTACGGGCAGCACAAAGGCTGCGATTAGTGGCGGCAAAAATGGTCCAAACCACATCCTTGTTGTCGGTTTTGCATTACAGGTAAGGGAATGTTCAACAGGGGACCTTTTTCCAGCACTCTGTTCTCTTTTGTCAACTTAATGTATTCGAAATATTGGCCTTGAAAAACTAGGTCTGCTAATGCCCCGCTTCATCTCTTATTTGAATCAAAGTGCAAACTAGGAGATTCTTCCAGTATTGGTGCTGTACCCAAGAGGCCCAAAGCTCGTCGGAATATTTCCAACTACCAGGGCATGAATGATATCAAGTAGGACAAACGCGCTCGAAGAACTCGAAGTCGAGGAGAAACGGTAAGCTCATAGCTACATCGCTTCATTTATAAAGAAGTTTAGGAGCTTTAAGAGGGGATCAGGCGCCAGTTTACACTTTGGGTTTCCTGGCTTGCGCCCCTAGCTCTGCGCTGTGCTCGTTGTGGCTAGCGAAGGTTTACCGTAGTTAGAGCCATTTGCAGACACCCGCTCTGAAGTCTGTGAGCGGTGAGTGTCTTAGCTGCTAGATTTCTAAATTGAAGTAGGCACAACTGCTGGTACCGGCTCCACCAAAGCATTGGTGCTATTGCAGCGAAGCAGCGGCTCCACGAGCCTGTGCCGTACCGCAGCTGCATCAAACATGTTTTGAACGTAATGACCGCCGTTCAATTGCGTGAAGATGATTTTTTGAGGACTGGTTTGGCTAGCTTTGGCTAGCTGCGGCGATCTGCCAACAAGGGCCCGATATTTGCCGTTTAATATAGGAGCTGCTCTACAATGCATAGTCCGCATGCTGCCATTCAAACTGTAGCGACGAGCACCGAGCAAGAATAAGGGGAGATGCGATTAAAGTGAAATGGAACATATTAAAAATATCACTGGAGTATACTAATAATTCATTAGAAAGCCCCACTGCTGCCGCTCCAGGTGCTCCTACTGCTGACGGGGCCCTGTCACACGGCAGCAGTTCTTAAGTTTCTCCTGTTAAACTGCCCGAATGAATCATTGGGTGGCGTCCTTTCTTTAAGTATGCATTTGTATTCAATTTTTATGAATCTGCTTTTGCTTCTGTTCCTCCTATTGTGCGTCTGTGGGTCAGCATCAGCTGCTAGTGGGGGGCCCCCGCTCATTTGCGTGCAGCGGTTGAAAATGCAGCACTTCACGTCAAACGATCTTCTTCTATTTTGCAACTTCATCTAAGGCTCAACTCTGCATAAGGGTAGCTGAGCAGCTATTTCGCGGACGCATCTTCATCCAGGCTGCAGCTTAGGATTCTGTCTGCGAGGCCACCGTCCTCTGTCGTCAAACTGGTGCTGCAGCTGCTGCTGCTGAAGCCGCGCTTCCCTCTAACGCATGAACCTCACTCCCGCTGAACTTCTCTGAGCGTCTCTTGGCCCTCTCCTCTACACATCGCTCTCCGCAGCTGCAGCTCCTGCGCGTACTTGCAAGAGCAGTAGCTTCACCACTGTTGCCCCTTCCCTACACAGCCGTGCGTGCATTTTTCATTGACTCAGAGAGAAATGGCTCTGAACCCAGTCTTAGCCGAGGACGGCTCTGGGAAGCTGTTTCCGCTTCCAGCAGCGGGTGAGATATTCTTCTTGCGGCGGGACAACATCGGTTTTCGACTGCGCGGCCCTGGCGCAAATCTGAAAGGCAGCGGCTGCTTTTTCTTGAGCAGCAGCCGAATCGTGTTTCTGCGGGCAGGGAAGGTGGAGAGCCACGGCAGCAGCTTCTCCTCCTGCGAGCTGCCGCTGCACCTGATGCCGCAGGCGCAGTTCAAGCAGCCCATCTTCGGGGCGAACTACCTTGAGGGCCAAGTACATCCCAAGCAAGAAGCGGAAAACCCTATTCAAGGCACCAGCACTTTCACCCTCACTTTCAATGCGGGCGGCTGCGGCACATTCATTAATGTGTTCTTCAGGCTATGGAAAAACGCACTCAGCCACCAACAGCCAGACAACTCCCTGCTGCAGCAGCTGCACCTGGGCGCCGGAGCAGCATTCGTGGACCCAAGCGATCCTTCTGTGGTCTACGTCACGCAGCCGCAACCAGCGAACCAGCCGGGGCAGCAGCAACAAATGCCTCCATACTGGCAGCAGCAGCAGCAGCCGCCGCCCTACCCGCCGCAGCAACAGCAGCAACCGCCCTATTTGCCTCCGCAGCAACAGCCGCCCCACGCGCCTCTGCAGCAGCAGCAACCTCCTTTTGCCCCCCAGCAGCAGCTGCAACCACCAGCGTGGGGGCAGCCGACGCCACAGCAGTACCCGCAGCCATACGGAGCTCCGCAGCAGCAGCAGCCCGCACCTCAGGGGCAGCCGCCCATGTCTCCGTACTACCAGCAGCCGCAGCCGTGGCAGCAGCCCCCACCGTTTCCTCAAGGACAGCAGGCGTGGCAGCAACAGCCTTACTGGCAGCAGCCCCAGCAGCAGCAGCAACCACAGCCGCAGCCGTACTGGCAGCAGCCCCAGCAACAACAGCCACCACAGCCTCATCAGCAGCCGTACTGGCAGCAGCCCCAGCAGCAGCAGCAACCGCCTCCACATCAGCAGCCGCAGCAGCAGGCACAGGCGCAGCAGCAGCAGCCGCAGGCGCAGCAGCAGCAGCCGCAGGCGCAGCAGCAGCAGCCACAGGCTCCAACTTTCCCAGAGGAGCCCGCTCGAACAAATGCTCCAGCGCCATCTTTAATATGATGGATATTTTCGTTTGTCTTGCACTTCAGCTGCTATAAGCCGTTCATTGTTTTTGCGTGCCTCCCCCGTTTCTACCCCAGTGGCGCTGTTGTCAGTCACTGAGCTTATCCCTCCTCGATCACTTCAGGCCTTCATTTTTTTCGCATCTTCGCATTCCTTATTGGCCTTTAGTATATTTTGATTTTTCCGTCCCCGGTAGACTGACGGATACAACTGCTCGATAGCGCCGCCGAACAGGTTCTTGGAGTTTGTTGAAACAGTGCTTTGGCTACGCTCGCCGACAATTACAAATTATCGTTGGAGCTGTTACATTTGCTTGCAGTTACTGCTGATTAAAAGTACTTTCGGCGAGTGCCCCTATAGTCGTAGCGGTATCAGGCCAAGAAGGTAACTAGTACTTTATATATAATTTATTCTTCAGCAAACGTCTGCAGCTTTCGGCATCACACTGTGACCGCTTATTCGTTTCGTGAGTACGCGAACGCGCACATATAAAACACGGGCGAAACCACGAAAAGTACGGGGCTGGGTCTTCCCACAGAGGCAAGACGCCCTAAAACGCCAGTCGGCGGGTGTTCCAGAAACCCACAAAAAAGCAAATGAAAAGTTGGTGGTTCCAGAGTAAATGTGCTCATAAACAGCTGACAAATAGGAGAGCAATGGGAGTAACCCAGCAGCACACTCTCGGACACAAGCACACGGAAACTAGGGAAGCTGGCGAAAACAGATTAACAACCCCGGAAGAAGATGCAGCACGCGTGGAACGGCAGGGGCAGCTTTTCTGCTCTTCTGTCCCTGCAGCAAACGCGCTCTAGTGTCTCTCTTCGCTTCTGCTTCTTCCACGTTTCCCTCTTTCTCTCTCCTCAGTTGTCCTGCGGTGGTGACCATTTTCCTTCACGTCATCGTACTCCCTTGCCCCCTTGCTGCCGCTGCTGCAATTGCTTTCTGGGTGCCTCTCTCTCTTGCTGCTGCTGCTTTCTCTGTGTGTCTCTCTTCTACAGCTGCTGCTTTCTGCATGCCTTTCTTTTCTGCTGCTGCTCCCTTCTGGGTCTATATCTCTCCTGCTGCTGCTGCCTTCAAATTCCCTATCCCTTCTGCTGGAGCTGCCGCCACGTTCTAGTTTTCTGGGCCTTTCGTTGCTACTATTGCTCCTTTCTCGGCGTTTGCCTTTCTTCCCACTGTCTCTGTCTCTTCTACTGCTGCTGCGTTCTGTGCTGCTGCTGGTGCTATCTCTTCTGCTTGAGCTGCTGTCGCGTTCGAGCATTCTGGGTGTTCTGCTGCTGCTATTACTCCTTTCTCGGCGTTTATCTTTCCTGTCACTGTGCCCTCCCCTTCTACTGCTGCAACGCTCTGTGCTGGTACTGGCACCGCGTGTTCTGCTTCTGCTTCTGCTGCGGCCTCTCCGCCTCGCCTCCTGCTGCTGTTCTGCATCACTTCCATTTCTCTGATCACGCTCGGATCTGCCATTGCTCTCACTGCGCATATCACGTTTTTTCGACCGTTTTTTCGCTTCCTTCTTCAATTTCTTTTTCTCCTTTTTCAATTTCTTCTTCAATCGTTTGTCTTCCCGCATCAAATGGTCCACCTCTGCTTCTGCTTGGGCATTCAACTGCACCAAGAGAGGCCACAGCAGAATGAAACAACGCGGTGGAAAACGCATAGCACAGGGAAGTTCAAACGGTAATGAATGAAAGCGAAAAGGTAGGGCCAAAGTGACTGAGTCATCACACGAGAAGCACAGATCGAAAACCAGCAAAAGGCATCGAGGTAGTGCGGTATGCAGATCAGGCTGCGAACACATCTGACTGTGGAAGCGCCGGTTATACGCGAAATGTATACGTGTGGGAAGCTCACATTTGATATCATCAGCTCAAATTCTTCTGCCCACATTTCGTCCACATCTTTGCCGCCCTCTGCTGCGCTAGCGAGGGCCTGCCGCCGGCGCTGCTCCTTCAACCTTTCCTGCTGCTGACGAGCCTTGTGCAACTCTTGCTCTCTCTTTGTGACAAGATACTTGTCAATGCCGGCTCCTTCAGCTCCAGTTGGCTGATAAGGTGTTTCCTGCAGGATATCAACAAAACCAAGACAACATGAGATTCATTGGGCAGAAGGCGAATAGTGGCGACTCATGCACAAGCCTAACATGATTCGCTGGCCAGTGGTTGCCACCACAAGCAAGTGCAGGTGGTGTTGCTGCTGCTGTTTGAGGGGTCGCTGACTTCTCCATCTTTGCCTGATGTTGGGGGCCGGAAGTTCTTGCAGTGGTCCACCCTAAGGGTCCGCTGCAACAGCTTCATGCCATTTGCATTGTCTACTGCGAGAATAGTTGACCGCTGGTCTTCGTAACCCAGGAAACCGAAGCCGCGGGGAACCCCTGAAGTGCCGTCACAAGAATGATCCAGAAGATGGACGGGGCTTGTGTTTGAGCAATGTGGTGCGAACAGCCTACTAAGTTGTCTGCGTCTGCTGATCTGTATAAGTGACGTTTGCGCTGCATCCACTGAGAGTGAATAAAAAGGGGGGAAATGAGTGAAAATGGGTAAAGGGAGACAAGTAGATGGACTGATTCAATACTTACCTGTCTTCTGATCTCTGACTAACACCACGTCAATAGGCTCTCCCCATTGTGAAAAGACGATGGCGACGTCACCTTCGGTGAGGCGAGGATCCAGACCACCTGTTGAAAAAGAGTGCATGCAGCATTTAATCATATCATAGTGCTGGATTCCGAGATCAAATGTTTAGCCTTCCTCAGTGAACGGCAAGTGACTTGCGCTTGAGCCCTCACCCGCCCCTTCACTTTCTTTGTTACTCTAAGGATACTTGACGCTCTATACCATCTGTTTATTCGTACTTATGTAAATATAGCATGAGTCTTTGTAATGGTTATGCCAGGAGGCTTCTTGGCTGATCCCCAGTCTCAGTTCTTCTGCATTCAGACGCTGGATAGCGTTGATGTTGCTGAAAGCTCCGGTAACACTAAGAGCCATTTTCACAGAAATAAGAGCACAGCGGATTCGAGAAGAGTAGGACACAAAAAGCGGACTTCAAAAAAGTTGTGGTCCCCTTCACCTATTTTCTCATCGTCAGCAGGCACGCGTGTGGCCTAAATAAGCAAGGTGATGTGGCAACAGCAAATTAGAAGAAAAGAGGAATAGCGACTCAATACGAGCAAGTTTGTAAACACAGATGCTACGCCTTGAAGGGCAGGAGGAATAGAGGAGAGGCCATACTCTCCAAAAATCCACAGCCTAAGCTGGGATTTGTTCCAAAAGCAGCTTTGACATTCTTAAATTCCAGCTTTTCTCTTTTCTCCCACAAAGCTTCTTCAGGAATGTTGGGGCTGCAAAAGTGCTGGCGAAAGAGGCCCTAGGAAAAGTTGGCTGGGGGGCCCTCGTCTGAAGCTGCCGAGCAGACTTCGGTGGGCTCCACACGTAAAGTCGAGATTTATCTTATTTACAAATATTTAATTGCAAAAAATAGCGTTTTCAGCAAGGGCTTAGTGCGAGTTTCTTTCGTCTCCCTCTGTAGCTTACCTTCTGCATCCGGCTGTACAGGAGTCGTCCAGTCGTCGCTTCTTCCCACCACCTCTTAAAAAGCAAATCCTCCTTTTCTGTATTTTGAACTCCATGCCATCTTCTCAAAAGGCACACACGTCACGCATGCATAGCTTTCACTCCACCTAGCGTCGCTGCGGTTCCCCTTTGCTCCCACCTCCTCTGCTCAGCCCAGTCTCACTGGGTGATACGTTTCGTCTTACGAACAAGCATTTAGCCATAGTTGCGAACATTCGAAGCAGCGGCAGGTACAACACCAAGCGCAGCATAAGCGGCAGCAGCAATGACACAGCAGGCGCCTCAGTCTTTTTTTGGCGAGCCAGGGTTCTCCGAGACTGCGGACTTGTACGAAGAGGCGATTCAAGGTATTTGCACTTAACTTAGATTTCGCACTAACTCTTCTGATATGATATGCCAGAAATGCCCCCAGTGCTTGCTCGAACTTCATCTTCTTGCGTGTATATTGGCAGTTCAGGCTGTGTCTTCGGCATGTTGTTTCGTGTTATGCAGCTACAATATCTCAGTGCCAGTTGCTACAGAACGCCAAAGTGCTCGCGGCCATAGAAAAGGTAATAAATTTTCTCTGTTTTGCCCGGGTGTCTAAATTCGCCCTATGCTTATGTTTGTATCGAGATGGAGAGACGGCTTCGTTTTTTTGTCTCGCTCTTGCTTGGCAGAGATTCTATCCCTTGAAAGCACTTTGCTATGTCGATATTTTAGTTTTCTCTTTATGCATGTGGTAACGTTGACCTTGCGTGCACGAGCAGCCTGCGGGGGTCCTTACAATTTGTGTTCCTTGCTTCCATCTTGTGCTACTCCATCACCCTTTAGTTGCTTGCCTTTCGTCCCTGCGATTTCGCAATAATTCCGCAAAATATTTGTCGTTTGCCTTTTCTGAGCTTCAGCAATGGCGGCAGTCGCTTAGGAGAAAACAGATTGAGCTCTCACGGGCTGCTGCTGCTCGTCAGGTACAGTCTGCTGCCTTTCCAGCTCCTGTTCCTTCTCCTCGGCCTGTTCTCGACCCTTTATTTGCCTCTTTTTTCTCATCTAATTTGCTGACTTGCTGTTAATTTTTATAATTTCCCTGGTTGTATGTTGGCGAAGGCCCACTTCCACAGCTGCGTGCTGTGGAGAAGGGGATATTTGCCGCTGCGGCCCTTCTCGTATTTTTGCCGTTTTTCTTTTCTGTTTGCTGTTCTGCTGCTTCGGTCCATCTGTCTCTTCTTTGCATTTGTTTGTATGTTTTCTCTAAACGGTGTGCGCGTCATTTCTAGCTTGCTTCTTTGAGTCTTTCTTTTAACTCTTTGTGTGTAGGCTCCTCCTCTTGTTTGTCTGTTTTTGTATGCTGCTGCAGGATGCTGCATCGACAGCAGCAGCAACATCAGAGCCTCAATCGGGAGCATCAGCTTCAAATGCCACTGAGGCACAAAGCAGTACAAGCGTGCCGAGTGCTCAGTTAGTTCTTAGCTTCAGCGTTGGCAGGATTCTGTGATACATTACTTGTTGGTGCCTTTGCTTAGCTGTGCTTGCGCTTGTGTCACCCACTGGTTCTGCGTATTTCTCTGCCTCCTTGTGATCTTGCGTGTATGACCTTGTTTTCCTTAATCATTCTTCTTCTTATGTATTGCCTTCCTCATGTATCCCTATTTTCCATTCTCTGTTTTTTGATTGTCAGGACCTGCTCCAGGGTAACTCTCCCTCTCGAGATTTTTGTCTGTGTTTGTGCCTCTGCATGCCTGTACATGCCTGTACTCATGTACTTCTCTGTGCTTTTGTGTCTTCCGTCTATAATAGTCTGAATTTTTGTCACTTTCTTAGCTGCAATTGCCTGTTCAAGTATGTCGTTTGTTTGATTCTTTGCGTGTGCACCCACGTATAATCTGAAGTCAGCAAAAGTGAAGATTGACAGTGTAATTGCTAGCCCTGTACGCATTAAGTGTATTTGCGATTTATTCCACAAGAGAATTTGCAGTCAACTTCTTGCGTCTGTCTTGCAGAAGTGCTGAGGCATCTACGGGGACTGCTGCTCTGCCAACAGAATCAGGAGAACAAAAGCAGACAGAAGCAGAAGCAGAAGAATCAGGTGTGATTTACAACTTATAGTTGTAAATATGCTCATTTCGTGTATCCGAGTGCAGCTGCTTCGCCTGTTGTGTACCTGCGTGAGGTTGGCCCTGCTATTCTCTCCGTCCGTCTCGTATCCTTAGGCAGCTCTAGAAAACAAACAGAAGAGAGATGAACCATTCAGTGCGAAAATGTGTTTTTCGATTTTGCAGATGATGATTTTGCTGATGCGGATATTGACGAGGCAGACGAAGGAGTCAACGCCTTGGGGCAGAGGCTCGCTGCAGGAGCGGGAGAAACTAACGGCGCTGCTGCTGGAGTTGGTAGTGCTTCTGCTCACCTGGAGGTGAAAAAAGACGTTCAGGAGAAACAGCAGAAGCAACAAAGTAATCCTGACAATTCCACTGCGCTGGATGAGAGCGGCAAGTATCACCTCCCTTTGTTCCCTAATCCATCGTCAAGCTATGAGTTTGTTTCTATGCAACTGATGGGAACTGTATGCCGCTATTTTTCGGCCTCTTGTGTCTTCAGCTTCCCCGCTATGACCTCTTCATTTTCTGCTCTGGTTGAATTATTGTTGCTCGGGTGTAGCAAACGGCTGCTGGAGTTTGGATATCTACTTCTGTCATTTCGTCTTTGTTTTTTATGAATTCAGCTGCTTGTGTATGCGATAGAAGACATTCACGATTAATCTCTGCATTTTTTGCCGCTTTTAATATGATTGATTGCTGCAGACGATGACCAAGAGGAAGGGGCCCACCTAACGGTGGACGATGTGTCCGACTTGGACGATGCGGAACCTCAGACGACAGACGGCATATTTGCGTTTTTTGAAAAGGTAAATTCATCGCACTTTTTTCTGCTTGCATTATTCTGCATGTGTGTATTCGTAGGCTGATCCAAATCTCAGGCCCTCTTTTTTCCTGCGCAGACAAAGATTGGCGTACACAGATGCTCACCAATTGCAGCAGCAGCTGCCGCTGTTTGGTCACTGCTTCTGTGGTACAGGTTGAAAGGGCGGCTGCTGGATCTTCAAGGCGCTGTAGCAAGTGGAAAGTATTGCTTAGACATGGAATTCTCCGGGTGAGTGAGTATTAGGATGCAGACATCTCGAGTGCCATTACCTCGACGCAGGCTAGCTCAGTGCAGTTTAGACACTTTTTGGGCCAGTCTAGACTGTTTAAGGTTTTCAATCCTTTTGAGGTTGCATTAAATCAGACTGTTGCCACTTCTGTTTTTGTTGGTTGCCTACGACGGCTGCGCCAATGCGGAATTTAATTGGCTTTAGGTTGGAGGACGCGAGATTCCCTTTGATAGGGCTACAGGCGAGTTCTCGTTCTGAGCTTGAACTTGCACTGGACGTCTGCCGAAAGATATTGCGCTCAAGAGCCACAGCTCAAGTGAGAATGAGCTACGCTGGTCTACAGACGGGAAGCCAAGCGGTGAAGACCAGCCCAGTCTCGTCGCAGTGACAAAGGTCTTGACGGATTGGGTAGCAGAGAAGCGGATGTCGCTTCTAACGTAAAACATTAGGTGGACGTTTGCTTTGTGTGGCGTCCACCAAAAGTTCTACGTTAGAAGCGACAGCAGAACAGGAACGGCATTTGCCCTTTACCCCTTCCCCGAGGCGAACTTGTGTAGTGGACTGTTCATGAGTGTAGTTGTTGCTCATAGTAGATACGCATCTGCAGGAATAATGGTAGATGCCGGATCTACAAATCAGCGCAGCGCCGTCTGAAGCAGCTGTGCCCTTGGTGGGGAGCTGCAGTTCAGAACTGCTGCTGCAGCGTACTGCTGCTGCAGCGTCAGGACTGTTTCTCACTGTGGTTGATTCTACAGTGCGCCTATATTTTTTACGGCATCTCGCGGTGGTTACTCTGCCTGGTTATCCCTTCACTCGTCCCCACAGAACCACTTGCCTATTCTATCCTTCTGTTGATTAAGCACACTGAACGAATGGTCTTTGGCAGATAAGCTGCATCTGAATGGCGTGAATAGCTGTAGACGTTCAGCTCGAAACCTCCTTAATCGTGCATAAAATTTATTTCGTATTTGCGTTGTAGAGGAGCTAGAGATGGCGATAAAAGCAAGCTATGGGGTGTAACGACCCCACAACAGAAAGTAAAGGAACCCTTATTGTAAAGCATAGTCGCATCTGGCCATTGTGTATTTCTCTACCACATTTTGTCGGCTTTTGAGACGAATATGAATCCTACCGTATTCGACTTCGAGTGCTCAAATGCAAATGAGTAATACAGAAGTGCTACGTGCACACAAACTGTGCGCAGACAAATCCCCAGGTGCATGCACATCTCATACGCGCCTGTGCAACTCCTGAAGAAGCGATAGTACCCTTTCCTGCCTGTTTTGAAGTCGATGCAACTCCGTAAAGCCCTCTTTCTCCCTGGGGGCACATCTCCACAGTGTCGCAGCCGCAGCGCAGCGTGTTTGTACGCCCCAGGCGGCCCTCAAGTGTACAGGGGGCTCTTTAGATGCACTGTATCAGAAACCGTTGTATGCTTTGTTCCGTTCAGCCTTCGAAATGCTGCTGCGATGTACGGTTACTGCTGTGGTCTAAACTTATTGCTGCTGCGGTGTTATAGCGCAGCAGTCGCAGCGCACACAAGAAGGGCCGCAAGAGATACTGGAGGCAGGGAGGCAGTCTCTGCGTGGTATTTCCTACATATGACCACCGCTTTTGGGACTTTACTGGACCCTTTGCGCTTGCTGGCCAGCAGCAGCTGCTGCTGCTGCTGAGGTGAGCACGCAGCTCTGGAGTTCGGGGCGGGGTGATCGGGAGGGCAAAGAGATATAGAGTCCAAGTCAGATGTCAGGGATACCAACGCATGCGCCACCTTTCTTTCAAAGCCATTTAAACGCCACAGAACCAGCCATTCCCTGCCCTCCTGCTCGTCCGCTTCAGTTTTTGCTGCGGCTGTTCGCGCTGCAGCTGCAGCTGCTTGCCGCTGCAGTCGCTTCACGAACGACAGCATCTGCGCCTCTTCATCTGAGAAAGGCTCCTGCGACATGCCCTCAGCTCTGACGCGCTCAGAGTCCTTATTCAGACGCATGCAACGCAAACTGCTGCTAGCGCTACTGCTGCTACTGTTGCTACTACTTAAATTGTTGCTACTATTGCTGCTGCTGGCGCTGGGCAGCGCCCCACGATCGGCGCTGCTGCTGCTGCTGCTGTTGCTGCACGATAGTATTGGCTTATGCTTCTGTTGTTCCGGGGCACTTGCTGCTTCAGCAGCATGTTGCTGCAGCAGCTGATGCAGCAGCTGCTGCAGCCCTCCCTTGACAGAGGAAAGCGACGAATACGCCCCCCGTATTGCCTCTTCAAGAGCAGCACTGAGGCTGAAGAGAGTAGAAACGTCTTTGGTAATTTGGCGCATAGGTTTGAAGGCAGCGCGAAGTGACTTGATCCGCTGCACAGAGGGCAGCAGCTGCAGCTCTGACCCTTCAAGTTGCTGCAGCAGCAGCCGCTGCACCTCCAGCTCGCGGGCCAGAGCGGAGGCAGTAGGCGACCCTGCGGCGTCGGCGCTTCCCGTGGGTGCTGCGGCAGCAGTAGCTGCTGCTGCTGCTGCTGCTGCTGCTTTGCTGGGAAACTCCATGTCTGTGTCGCTCTGCTCGTCCACAGCCACAGTTTGCCGCAGCAACTCGGAGTGTCGAAGTCCATCTGACGAGGCCGCCCGCACGGCCGAGCCCCCTGTCCGGCACTGCTGGCGCTGCCATTGCTGCTGCTGCAGTTGCTGCTGCAGTTGCTGCTGCTGCTGCTGCTGCTTCTTCATGAGCCGGAGGCAGTGGTTTCTCCTTTGAGACAGCGGGTCCGCCAGCTCCGCCCCCCCCCCTTCTGGCGCAGCTGCGGGGCCCAGAAAGGCCTCCGCCGTGCCTTCTCTCCTCTTTATGTACAGCTCGCGAGCCACCGGATCCTTCTGCAGCAGTTGCCAACAAGAGGGGTGGCAAGGGGCCCCCCAAAAGTCCGTTGCGTCTGCTGGATCGTCCCCAGAAGTGGAGATGAGGCGGCGAAGAGCAGCAACGAGCAGCTGCTGGTGCAGCCAGCGCCTGTGCTTGTGCCGCCCCGGCTTTCTGCTGCCGCTGCCCTCAGTTTGCTGCTGCTGCCGCCTGCTGCAGCGGACCCGCAGGCGACACACGTCTTCTCCTGCGCTGCTGCTCCCTGGGTCTGTGGTGCCGTGAGCCAGCGCGTCTGCTGCTGCTGCATGCGGCTGCCTCTGGCTGTTCGCCGGATGTGCAGCAGCAGTGCTGCTCCGCTGCTGCGACTGCCACCACACGCGCCTGTCCGTCGCCTCCGCCAAAATGCGGGGGATTCTCCCCGCTGCTGCTGTTTCAAGAGAGGCCTCTGTGTCCGACAGGCTTCGCGCAACAGCAGCAACGCGAGCTGCTGCCTGCGCCCGCAATACTTCATTCGCAGGAGTAGGGGGGCTTATAAACAGCTTCTCCATAGCTGCCGTTGGCGCCTCTAAGCCCCCAGGGCTCCCAGGGCTTCCCTTCTCCCCAGGGCCTCCGGGGGCTGCTGAGCCCTGCTCACCTTGGGGGCGCATATGGGGCAGGTAACAGCGGCAGTCTGTTGTTTCTAGCAGTGGAGATAGTGGGACAACGCGCAGGCCTCACTTGTGCTGCACAGCATGATCACGCCTTTCAGAGGGAACTCGCAGGCGTTCTCGGAAGTTAATTGAGGGAGGGGCGTGTGGAGGGAGAGGTGACCAGTGGTTCACCCCGGAACACTTAGTGTGGCATAGCGCAGGTACAGGGCCGGGGAGAAGGGATCCGGGGAAAGTTTCGGACAGGCCGAGCAGTGTGCTCCAAGTCCAGCAAACAGCAGAAGTGGAGGCTCTCACGATGAGGCGCCTGCCGTGCGTACTACTACGGGTGGTCTACCGCCATAGTTAGAAATGGGTAAAAACAAAAGGATATGAATTGTCCCGTTTTTGAGTGTTCTTTTCGGCAATAGATGAGGGGGCTGGCTGGCTGGCATTGGCTGGCGCATGTAGACAGCGCGTTGCGAGTTGCAGTTACAGTTAATTCGGAAACACACGGCATTCTCAAACCGTTCTTCTTTTATTAAGGCCATACTAGTCAAAAATTTCGCCCGGAAACATGTTTAGGTGTCAGTGTGGTTCTCTAAACTTGTGAGCAGCTCAGTAGCTGCCAGCTTCTTAAACTGCTGAGGGTACAACCATTGTCTCGTATTACTTGGCCATTCACCAAAATGAAAACTCCCAACTAGTTTATTTCATGAGCCAAATTGGATGGAGTATACTTCTTATCTTTAGAGCTGTCGACCCCAGCTGTTCATGAAATGGGCTCCACATGAAATCTGCAAGAGACAGAGCGACAGATAAAGAGTTGTTCCCACATCTTAAATGCATATCAAACAGTAGCCCTAACAAAATCCTCAATTAGCTTTCAGGTAAACTTATTATTTCATCAATGTCTCATTAAACAATAAGCCTTAGTGGTAAGCCGCCCGTTCCGACTCCGCCCCACAGAGGAGCAGCAAGGGCGGAAGAAAAGTGCGCCGAAGCATGGTACTTCAGCAAAGGCGGGCAGATTTGCAACTTTCAGAGAATAAACAGTAACGCCACCGCACTAATACAGAATTGAAATTTTCATTTTTTACCCTGAGAGTAGAGGAGGTGGGGCGGCGGTGCAATCGCGTGGGCTTGTGTTCTTTTGTCAAACGTCTGAAGTAAGGAATTGCAACTATTTGTTTCGCGTCTCTAAGTTGCTTTGTCTAGACCAGGCATATCATGTGACTGTGGTGAGATTGAAGAAACCGTGCGACGCTGCAGCTATACTATAGCTCAGGTTGCCCGTCGTTAATCTGGACATTGCAGTCTTCACCTACGTTTACAACATAATGATACAAAGGGTCTAGCAACTAGGCCAAAGACAAACTAAAGCTATAAGTGCTGCTGGAAGTCCTATTAGATGTCACCTTTTGCTGCGATCTCATCCCACCGCGGGACCTTAACCACCCAACCTTAGCGCGCGGAGTGCTATGGACAGCCCCTAGACCAAATCTAGGTTTTCAAGGGTGAAAATGCTGAATGAAAAAGTGTATTCCACCGTTTTCTTAATGTCCCTCGCACAGCTACTGTTACCTACACGCAGACCCGTGTGTGGCTGCACTACCATTTCGCCACGAATGTATGCATACAAAAAGAGCAAAAGACAGTAGAAACCTAGTGTGAGAGGTTATGGTACTGCGGGGTAAGTATTTTCTCTGAATCTACCGGCCTGCCCACTCTAAACTGACAGTAAGACGTATCTACAGATGGCACTTTTGTGGGATTTTCCCCTTTGTAGCATTATTTTCAGTTTGTAAATCTCTTTTTTAACAGGCATCCATTGTGCGTGCTTGCAAATATTCACAATAGTTGTTGCCACCCCCTGTCATGCTGTCTGCTTTTGGCTGCATCTTGCATCACGGCTGTTACCAGCCCTTGTGTGTATAAACACATGTTCATTGTGTTGCAGCTAATAAACTCTAATCGGGTTTGTAACTGAAAAGTAAAGGGAGAGAGGACAAAGTAAATGGTTGCAGCGACGCCAACTCAACTTGAGCCGTCGCCATGGCTTCACTTATCATTGCAGCAAAAAATGGCGTTCAAAGTGTGCAAAGCTTGTTTGCCTAGCTCATTAAAAAGCATTTCCACCAGTTGGTGCTTCTTGTAGTAGTTGGGGAGGGCAGAAGCCCCCACAGAGGTCTTGAGTTACGAGCTCGCTTGCAGGTTCCTTTCAGGCGGCCTCTGGGTCCTCCTCAGTGGGGGCCTGCAGTGACAGCGGCACCGGAGGGCCAAACATCTCTCTCTCAGCTTTCCCTTTACTTCTGCTTTGAGCTTTTTGAACTCCGCACGGGAATGTGTGCGCAGGAAGGAAGCCTTCTGCCTCTTGTAGAGCAGCTTCATCTGACGCAGGTACTTACGAGTTAGGCGGAAAGGGTGGCCCTCTGGCAAAGTTATCAGTGAGCTATTTGCCATGGAAGGAGGGTCTGCGTCTAGCTCAGCCTCAGCTGTATTTGCAGACTCTGGCTCGGCTTCACACTGAAGTCCCGCCTGGGGATTTACCTGAGGCTCATCCTGGAGGGCATCAGCGTCGCCTCCGGGCTCTGATACGGAATCAGGATGCGCCTCACTCTCTTGGTGGGACTGGCTCTCGTTTGCACTATCGCGTTCGCCGTTGCCCTCCGCGTGCAACTGTCCACTGGCATTTTGGGTTTCCGCTGACTGGGTAGGGTTCGCCTCCGAAGAGATCTCGTTTTGGGTCTCCGAATCAGAGGGTACACTTGTAATTACGCCGTCTGGGTAGTCTTCGACCTCGCACAGAGCTTCCTCGCAGTAGGTCGGTGTGTCAAACAAGTACTCAGCCAGCCAGTGTTCCATCTTGGTGAAATGGCGGGCAAGCAACGCTGTGTACGGTACAGAATGGATAAAAAGAAGGCAAGAAATACAAAAAAAACCTCGTAAGTCCTGTTCGACTGTGTTAAGGCAGAGACAGAAGACAGCAAGTGCTGCCTCGAAACACGGAATGCGCGTGTCTCCTGCATGAACCGTGACTGGACCACCGACAGGTTGAGCGCCAGCGCTGAAACCCCCACTCCATAGCATTCGGGAATTTAATTTCACCCCTCCTGATATTTCAGCATTGTTTTGTTTATTGTTTACATTGGCTGGGAAGATTGTTCTCAATGGTTCTCACAAATTTGCCCAGCTGAAGAAGAAGAGACACTGCGAGCACAGTGGCGAACCGCTGTTTCTACAAGCGAGACGCGGTCAAGGATCTCGAGGTAAATATCGCCGAATATTGCTGTTTATCCCACAAAAGTGTAGCTGAATAGTGGTATAAACCAAGAGAGACAGAAAATGAAGGGCGAGCTTGCCCCAGATCTTGTCGTGTTCTCCATCGAGAGCAGGAGGCTGAGGAGCCTTCTGCACAACCGGTGAACACCTGTGTAGGGGGTCCTGAGCACTTCCCATTACGCTTATATTGTATTCTTCTGTTTACTCAAGTGTACTATTTATCCGTGTACCTGTTCACGGGGCTTATGCTCTTTTATTTAAGTTCATTCGGCCTCCACACCCGCTTATCTCGCAGGAGACCCCGTAGTTATCCCTTGACGGGGTGTGTGCGGTTGCGGTGATTAACTGGGTAACTCAAACGCCTTAAATTTGACTCAATGTGCATTCAACAAGCAAGTCACGAAGTTGTATAAAACATCAGGAGGTTCTCCGTATGGGTCTAGATTGCGCATTTAGTCGGCTAAGTGACCCAAAGGGCAGTTTGGATTGTGAAAATGTAAGAATAAACAACAGCAGCATGTGGTGCAATGCTTTATAGCCTACGTACCCTGCGCTGTTTACTGGGCGTTGTGAAGCTGCAGTGAAACCCCGTTTGCGGCAGCCGCATGTGGTGGAAAGTGTCACATGATTCAGGCAATTTCAGCTACGTGAAACCATGTTGGCGGGAACAAAAGATTCAGTTCATCAAGTTTCTTTTCTAGGACCAGTAATGAACGCACAGCAGCAACTCTGTTCAGCAGCTTGTAAAACATCTTGGATTACTTTTCTATACTGACGCCCAAAATTCCCTATTCGAAATCGTGCAGCATTTTGAAGTACTGTCTAACATTTATTCACGTGTTGCGAAATGCCTAATCTTACCTAATTCCTCCTACGGAGTTTTCTTTAGGAGCTAATGAAGCATGACATGCTGCAACTCTCGCGTTGTAATGAATTTTACTTCGATCATGCATAGTTGTAAGTTTCTGCAGCCCTATCTCGCGGGTTAGCAAATTTGACAACACTAAAACATTGAAATGCTAGTGGGCTCCCTAAATGTCCCTACATCGTGACAAACGACGGGAGAAAGATTAGAAAGGAGATGCTCTTATGCTGGGGAGAAAGAGGGTCTGGTTTCTGCTGCGGCCACTTGAACCGGAATGCATACGACTGTTCGAAGGTCGTGAAAGGTCCTTTTTCAAAAGGCGCAACAACAAGTCGCCTGAAAAGCCTCTGGCCAATCAAGCAATGCTAAGTGAAATATACGTGAAAGCCTCCTGTGCCGATCTCAGAGAACCATGAGTGCCTCCAATTGACGAAAGGCACCATACTCACACGCTAAGCAGAATTCACGTTCCCGTATGTAGAAAAATTTGTTACAAGGGACAAAGGAAAGTTGCAAAGGCAAGACGAGTTGTCTGATGTCGCAAAGAATGTGGGCTTTACATTGTCACTGGAGCCCACGTCGCAGATAACTCTGATAGCCCCAAACCCTTCCATCACCAGCATTGAGCCATACTTAGTTGGTTTGCTTCTTCTTCGCAGGCGCTGGTTGATACTACGCCCTAAGGGCGACTCTGCCAAGCGATAAAATGGGGAAATAACCACCACGTGAAGGAAGATTTGCGGCAGAGTAGCCACTGCAAATGAATCAGACTGAGAACAGCCTCTACTAAAGACACATGCTGATCTACGGAGAGGTCAGTGACATTGATGGAGAGAGGAGGAAGCCGGGCGTCTCGGACAAGACCGTACGCGTAAATCTCCTTGCCCCGATGCTATCCCAAAGCACGTGTCCCTGTACTTGAATCTGATCCCAGATGCAAAGACCAATCTAAGTTATTCAAACAAGAAACTGTATTTCTTCACTAGATTTATAGCATTGTATGCCCTTGACATAAAACACCTGGAAAAATGAACGTAAGTTTCTGCTTTACACATTGCCACCCTGAGCCGAGGGCGGAGGTCTGTGTTCCCACTTCCGATGACGCAGTAACAAATTCACAGTCTGCCTTTTGAATAAATGGCCGTTTATCACCCGTATACGCACGTCTTTTGCTGCTTACTTTGCCAAAGTACATGTCTTAGTGTGCTCAGGAAAGTGTATGCTGGGCTTCAGTAAAGGCGGCTTCAATTTAGGAATTTTCTCGAAAGTATTCAAGATTCACATGTACTGATTCGAACGTGAGAGCATCTGTGCACAGCCACGAGCTCTGCTACTGCACTACAGAAACAGTCGTGCTTGCAGGTATATCTGTCAGAAAGAAAGCAAAGAAGAGTGCTGCCGTTTGTCTAACGTTAGAAAGTCGTTATAGCGCCTTATGGGCAGCAGTAGAGCGATCCAGAAACAACGAGGCGTCAAAAACAGGAGCTAAATCTCAGCATTTACGCACTAAAGAAACTTCTTTGGATTTCAATTCTACATTGCAGCTGGCCCTCCTAATTGCTTATTTGTCTTAAAAAATTAGGCAAAGTATCTATTTTAATTAGCAGCAAAGAGGACGACAAAAAACAAAACAAATTGCTGCACGAAACAAAGTGCATAAGCGAAGCAGCCGACCCCTGCTTTCTATCCCACGCATTATTTGCAAGGGACAACAAGGAACCAACGTCTGCAAGAACAAGCTGGTGCGTGCTTGCATGCAATCACATCCAGATATCTGTATGTGTGCCCACTCACACAGGCTTGAAGATCTAGATGATGAGGCTTGCACGTTTTTGTGCAGACGTGCAGAGGCAGATATGTACTGCTGCCGACCGAGGAATCTGGCCGTTTCTGTACACGATAAAGCTGCTAAATTTCAGCTGCTAAAGATTTTCGCGGCACGAAATTAATGAGTGCGAGGTCCCAGCCGTTGAGCTCACGAAAATATGGATTTGGACGTAATTGCGGGAACTTGGGTGAAACAAAATAGCTTGCATGATATACTTCAAGAAATACAATTTGTATGACAGTATATAAACATGCTTGCAGGTTGTTGCATCCATTTCTGCCCTTGCTCTTGTTTCTCCACTTGTGTTTGAGCGCACAGTTTTGTAGATGGGAAAGACGAAAGTCACGTGGCTCGAGTCGCATTTTGGAGTGCACTGTTCAGGGTCTCGTATTTGAGCCTGAAGAAATCACTTTTCCCGTGACTTTTAAGATATATCTTTTTCTCCCTCTTGTAAACATTTCGAAGAAGTTCGAGTTCATCAATATCTGCTGGTGTCTCCTGACCCTTTCCCTTTTTCCCCTTCCTTTTCTTTTGCTTCTTTTGCTTTTTCCCCTTCTTCTTCTTCTTCTTGTCCTTCTTATTTTTCTTGTCCTTTTTTTCCTTCTTCTTTTTCTTGCCCTCCTGATCTTCTAGGAAACTTTTAGAGGCGTTGGCCCCACCTGCAAGGGCCAGCCCAGCCAGAGCACGCTCGGGGGCATCTCTGTCGAGTCCCGCTACGGCGTCTCCATACAAATCTTCATTCCTGAAATGCTTGCCTTCAATAAGATCGTTTGATTCATAGGGAAGGTGGCTGAAGGCAACCGCAGGCGTCACTGTCCACTCGGTTTCAGTGTTAATGAGCAGCGCCACCACCGCTGGGACAACAGTTTGCAGCAGCCTCATGATGACTCAAAGATGAGCGGAAAAGGTAAGGCACAGCGGTGTCTATGCTCAATTGTTTTGCAAAAATAAAACAAAAATAGCGAAATGCGGCATTTTATGTGGAAAAAACGCAAGATCATGCAGCAGACCGCAGTCAGCGCTGCTCAGTGGCACGACGGTGACCACCAAGTGTCAGCTGGCAGACCACCTTGGTGTTCAAAATGGGGCGGAAATCGTTTTCTAATGCCTCTTCAACAACTATGCTAGTTTCTTTTACGCTTTTGCAAGTAAATGCTGCAACACTGCTGACTTGGGTTCGTGTTACCTCGGCCCGGTGGACGTCTTAGTGTTGATCTGATGGCTTGCCGGCCAGCAATTCAGCACAGCAGCGCCACCAGTTTTGGATTCCACCAGAACCACACTGGAAGTTCACCACTTCATTTCCATAGATTGGGTTAGCACATCAAGTGCAATAGTGCAATAAGGCGAGCTCACGTGGCTGCTTGCAATTGAGCAGCTGCGTCTTAAGGCACTAGAGGGCATTAAACACAAAGTGCACAAATGGCATGCGTAGGTAAAAAGTTTCCGGATTCCCAAGGCTCAGATATAAATGAGTGCAACGCGATCAGAAACAACATGACCGGCTGTAATATTACCAGAACCAGGGATAGTTCCGGACTCTACGCATCAGCCGCTGACAAAATCTCATAGCACTACATGAAGCACTTGCACGCAGTGAAGTCCCAATGAATGCACTGCCTGCTGTCATTCAGGTGTCTTTGCACCATAAACACAAATCCACTTGTTGACAGGAGAGGGGTAAAGAGTGTACTAAAACTTGATTTCCACAGTATACATTCAAAAAAGGAAAATCGTCAGTATATTTGCCTAGAATTGTTGTTGCGGCGGCTGCTCTTCTTCCCCTTCTGCACCTCCTTCCTCTCCCGAGTTCTCCCTTTTTAAGGCTTCGAGTATAGAAGTGTACTTTAAGACGGCATATTCCTCTTCGCTGTGCTTTTCAAGGTACTTCTTCTTCTCTTTGTCTACCTTTTTCTCCAACTTTTTGGCCTTCTTCTTTAGTTGCTGCTTTAGCGTCTTCGTACCTTCTGCTTGGTGAACGGCGAAGCTGCAGTCACCTTCCTGGCAGTGAGAAGTGAGGGCTCGCCGCCGCGCCTTGTGCGAGAGCTCTATAAAGCGGGAAGCAGAGGTAGCGGGGGCAGCTGAGGAGGGCACGTCTAATCCCTCCTCAGCCAACTCAAGGGAAACAGGATCAGTGCCTCCGAAACGCTTCACCAAGAGGGCCTCTCCGGCTCCGAGACAAGTTACAAGGAGTAGGGCGAATAAGGAAGGGGCACCCCTCATTTCGAGGAAGCTGGAGGTAGACTTAAACTCAGTGAGGGAAGCAGGTCCAGAAATAGACGATTGCAGCCAGTTGATTACTAGAACAATCTCAATTGAAAATAAAAGACATATATACAGTAAAGGTCATATAAAGGCAGCCTGGTACTCGTTCTGCATCAGGTAACACACTGGATGTGACACGAGCTTAACGTCACACGTCTACCCCACTGCTGAAACGCAGGCATACCTTCGTTGGCCCACCAGTTACTAGTGAGGTGGCAAAATAAAAAAAAAGTCAAAAAAAGACAAGGGAAGTAATGCAATTGGATATCTGGTTTGCAGTTCCACGAAACGTGAGCGGTGGAGCCGTTCTTCAGGTTGCTGTTCTGGGTCTGGTGGCACACTTCCAGCAGCTACAATACTCGGAACACGGAGAAGTGGAATCAAAAAGCTCCAGAAATATTTAAACACACAAAAAGAATGTTTTGAATCGAGTTTAGTTCCATAATAATGCGTTTTCCCTATTGATTTGGGCAGTGACGACACCTGTTGGTTGTTTTGTGGACTCGGAGTTGCGAAACTGGCCAATAGAAATGATGATCTCCTGAGCTCCACGGCAGAAAAAAGATTAAAAAGCTTCTTTACATTGAAGTTTGATGAATTATCTTCACTGTATCCTTCGAACCACTTTGCGTCTCCGGTGTCGCCTCCAATCCCCGTGCAACTGACACCCTAAGCATTAGTTTGGAAAGTTCGGCAAAACCTGGCAACAGCAACATACCCGGAATATTACAATCAAAAATTTACCGGTTTTGGTCTAATCTGATATTCTGTTTCTCGCGCTTTAAGGTGCTGTAAAGGTCAGGAGCTGCGAGGCTTCCTTCAAAATCCGTTGCGCCTTGTCGTCACCGCATTATGTTCCCAACATTAAGGTCTTTTTGCATACTGAGAGCTTGAGTAATGTTTTTTACAGTTTTTAGAGGCATGTGCTTCTGAACAATTACCTCCCACAGCTTCGTCTGCATTTATGGTGACCCAAGATATGCTTACTCAGACCCCTGCTTTCTTTTCAGTCGGCCTTTCTGAAATCCTCCGAAACAAAGCCTTTCGTTATATTAAACAAAAGTGGTGCAAGCGCTGTAATATCCCGTTGACGTGGCATAGTGTTATGCGAACTGGAACTCTTTAAGAAGCTATAGCGCTTATATCGAAATTATAAGGGATGGACACTACAAATTTAAATTAAACTATAGGAGCATTCGTAAAATGCTAAATCAAAAGTAGCTTGACACTTGCTTCCATCGGAAGACCTTTTACATGACCTTTCATATGGCCAAAGAAGGGAAAAATGTCTTCCAAACAAGAACACTTTCAGAGATGACTAGAAATATAAAATGGGCTACGCCTTCCTCGAAGAGATATCTAGTCTGCTCAGTCATTAGGTTGAGCGCTTGCAGAAGCACAAGGCAATCGCCCTGCTACACAAAGTATTTTTCGCGCGAAAGCGATATGTAGGGCCTTTAAAACCGTTGAGGAAAACAGAAGCTTCTCCTTCTCTGCTTTTTAAATTGAAAAGCTTCCTTTCAACTACCAGCTCCTATTTTTTTTTGCGTAATTTGAGCCTTAAAAATGGCAGAAGAAGTCGGTCTAGCATCGTTTTTCGTGTCCTGCTGGCCTTTCTGTCCAGCTTTAAATTGTGCTCCTTCGGCTATAGCTGTACTGCTTTTTTCAGGTACGATAAAAACAGAAACTGTTCTGCTGGCCACCCTGATGAATGGAAAATTGAGAATTCTTCCTTCTCTGTTGGCCCCTTTTTTAGCTGTCGTCTATGTCCTGTCGTCCGCGTGACTCCGTGCTTCTTTTTTTCCATTCAGCTCTTTTCCCTTACCTCCTCAAGAGCTAATTACCCCTATGGCTTCGGCTGTTTTCACTACATTCCCTAGGCTTTCTTCATCCCAGCGATATCATCTAAGAATGATTTGTTTATTACGATGTACACCTAACTGATAACGAATGCACCTGGACTAGAGCACATGCATGGAAACAAAAACAAAGCAGATTGTGGAAACATTCAAAGCGAAAAATTTTAGATCAGTGGAAGAGAGCTTTTTTAGAACTGCAGTTCCTTTCGCTTATGATTTTGGCTTAGTAGCCGAGCTTGAGATAGGGGCTATAGTCTCAATGGTATAGATCCGACAAATGAGAAGACAGAAACGTGGAAAAAAAAGGGACTTTTGGAAGATTAACATATCTGATTTTGTCATATTGCATTATTTTTAGCACGCAAAACTGAGTGGAGTCGGCTGTTGTACTTTTTTGCGTTAAGAATGATTGCAACTGCGATCGAATTGAGATTTTTTTCACTTCAAGAATACAGCCATGTTACTTATCAAGGCAGCAGACAAACTTTTGCTTCTAAGCGTGAAATTTAAGTGGTAATGACGCATCTGCTTCCACTTCGTTCTGCCTTCCCTTGTCGAGGATCCAGTGAGAAGTAGATTTCAGCGCAGAAGAGCCACGGAGATGCACCAGCCTCTATAAGTTTGCTTCAGGCGCATTGTGCCATTTTCTGTAGCACATGCTCGTAGTACCCCTGATTTTACTTGACTGTAGATCCGGAATTCTTGGGTAGTTTCGCCCACTGTTTGTTAGGGTGAAACAGATCGGCTCGAGGGGGATAATCGCATCCACTAAGTCGAAATAACACAAACAGACCGAGCCAAACCCTCCAAAAAAAGTCGAAAGTATTCTATAACAGGCGTACTTTTTGAAGAAACGGAGTAATTCAGCCAACACACACGCCTGCCACAGAGCGCCTGTCCGCTTTCGCCACGCCTGCAGGCGGAAACGATTATAGGACCTGAAATTAGCTAACTTATGTAAAAGTACAGGTGTTAAATGCTGAATTAATTATTTTTAACATTGCTGTGACCCTTAAAATCAGAGAAAGATACGGTGCCTGGCGTGGGCTGGACGTGTTGTGGTTGGTGGCAGCTGCGGGCCCCACTGTACCATTCATAACCTTTGTAACCACCGTTAGTGCGAATTTCTTTCAGTTTTTCGACTTCGAAGTAGATGAAGCTGTCGATTTAAACCACTTTGAGCTGTAGATCTCCCCGAGCCGTCCCCGGACAGAGCCTCTGCTTGGAACAACGCTCTAGCGGTGGTTATTGTGTCCTTTATGAACTTCATCGTTGAGCCGATGATCTGCATCTTGGATTCCCGAAAGGATGTCCTGGGAAAAGTCTGCATGTCTTAGCCGCATGCCGGATGAGGTGCGGCTGCTGCAGCAGGCCGAAACTATCACTGACTACCCAACGCAGCTGCTGCGCACAGTTGAGGAGGAACTAGAGGAATATCACCGCCAGCTGCAAGCATGCAACGACTTTCTGAACAGGCGAGTCAAAAATACTGGTTGCCTGCTCTTCAGGGTCCTATGCACTCCTCTGCAGGGTGATATGAAGCTTGTAGGAAGCCAGCCTACCATGGAGCGGCTGGCTGAATCCCTGGAGCTGAACGAATACTCCTTTTCCCTAATTGCCTCTTTTTCTCAACTTTTTTGTTTGCTCAGCGTTGGCCCGGATACTCCTCCTGAAGAGATCGAAGCTCATGAGAACCGACGGCAACTAATGGAGTTGGATGTGCTGCATGCGCTACGGGTACTCAAGGCGTTTCAGCGAACTCGGCAGCACTTGTTAGACCGGATGTGTGTAAAGGCTTTGGGGCAATTCGAGGCTTTTGATGAACAGACTCTTCTCAAGCTATCTGACAACGAAATACAGTACCTAAGGGAAGCATGCGCTGCTGAACACAGCAGGAGAGACGAAGGCAACGCCAGAAATGTAGAAGACAGAAATGGAAAACCATCAGCTGTAGGTCCACCAGGTTTATTTAGATTTGTTAAAGCCAAGTATGGCAAGTGAAAACGTAAATTCATCCGTTTCACAACTCAGATGAGGATATGCCCCCCCTTGTCACTGCCTTCCCACCTTTGCTCTCTCGATCTTCTGCCTGGAGCAAGCTTTGTCTTCTCAGCTTTAGCGTCAAGTACTTTAAAAACTGTTTCTGCTTTGGGAAATTTGCACTTGTGTGCCTTTGGCCCGCAGATTGCAGATGTAGTGTTTGAGAAAGACTGCGTTCTAGAGGACCCCTGGAGCTTCACCGCGGCGTCTGGCCCGAACGAAGTTGAGCCCAGCTCTGCTGCGTCTCCCGCTTTGGCCCATTATGTATGCGGCACAGTTTCTCGGATGCCTCTTTACAGAGCTGTGCAGCTTAGAGCCAAAGGCATCGTAAGAGTCCTGCAGGTCTTCGACCACCAGTGGATTCCGCAGGACTCCGCGGCATTAAAAGGGTTTGTTTAGCTAGTACGTATTAGGAGAGGCGCCTCTGCGAAAGAGGAGTAAGACAAGGTGGCTGCTGAGGGGTCTTTCTTAAGACAATGAAGATTTGCCAGAGTTGCCTTGATGCTGAAGTGCGTAGTTGAGAGTTAGAGAATCGACTAGAATTTTGGAATAGCAAGCGAAAGTACCTTTCTGGTTCTTCGTGAAATGCAGATGCAGCACGCTGGGTGTGCACTGGCTAGCTGTGTCACTTCTCGGTCTTGACGCAAGTGGTTGTCTCAATGATACCGCTTTAATATGGAAATCGACGGGTCAAATAGGGCGTTCGGCTTTGCATAGATCGTGCATATCTGCCCCTATTATTAAGTTCCACACAAGGCGCGTCTGTTCAAGCTTGCCTTGTCACCTTTTGATTAAGAAAAAAGCAGCGCTTATGCTGAACCCTCTCCAAAAGGAATTTAGGATAAAGATAGATTGCGCACTGAGGGCCAATCGCTCTAGACGGAAAAGTCGCAAGAGAGACTCATTTTCGTCCCCCTTTCTCCATTCAGTTTTATCTACTTTTCCCACTTCGTCGTGTCTTGGTTCGCCTTTTCGGATTTGCCTCCGGCTTCTAGTTCTGCATACTTTTGACTCGTCATAGTGTGTAGCGAATACTATTTTTAATATGATGTAGTCTGCCCCCGATAGTCGTTACAAACACACGAAATTGTTGGGCCAGGGAAGACAGGAGGGCTAGAATCAGTTGTAGCCGTTTGAACGCTCGAAATTGATATATATGAGCCGTTTGAGGTGGTTTCACTTGTTAAACGTAGCACGAAAACTATTCCCAAGTAAAATTTACTGTGTTTGAGCCGCGTTTTGTGCCCCCTATTATGTATGTCGACAGTGAGCGCTGGTGGAGAGCGCGCAGGGCCTAGAAAACCGGAGATAGCAAAAAGCCAGAACATTGCACAATTCGATCGTGAAATATAAATTAATAATAAAGCAAAATGCAATTTTCCGTTAAGTTTGGGCTTTTCGGGGAGGTTGGCCGACTGAGTGTTCTTCAGATCTTGAAAAGGTCTTGCGGTCACCTGTAACATCGGTTCGAACGAGATAGGGTACGTCGGTTGTGCATGCACACCAGCCTTAACTCACCACAAAAAACAAAAATAAAACACAATTACAATGCTTCAAACATTAAGTGTCCTGTAAACAATGCATAATTGTTTCGAAAGCCCACTTTTTGTCCTCTGTCGGCGATTCTGCTTCCCTCCCGTCTGAGGCCTCGTGCCAGAGTGGCTCGCTGATTTGAAAACGGATAAATTTTCGGGTTATCTGTGAATTTGAGCATTTTAAAAATTAATTAAAGGCTTTACAGAGCCTTCAAACATATATTTTATTCTAAATCTCGTCTTCGAAGCTGCATTTTTGACTCGCATAGCAGCTGTTGGTCCGGGATCTCAAAAATGATGATTCAGGTGGCAGCATTTCTGATTGCCTCAGTTTGGCAGTCGACGTGGGCAAGCGCAGAAGGAAATCTAACGACAAGTAAGTTGCTGTACTCACCTTCCGTCTTCGATGGCTCTCAATGCAGCTACAGGACGCAACGGAAAAGGTTGATAATGGTCAAACATAGCCGGTGAATGTAATCGGGAGAGGTTAAGCGAAAACATAAATGCATAAAATTAGTCATTTTGGTGGGCGCCTGCACGTGGGTATCCCGTCCAATGCTCCTGGCAGTCGGTCTATGGACAGAGATTACACAACCCTAACAGTTTGGGCGGGCTTGCACGTTTCATCAAAGCCCGTAGCTGCATTTTTTCCTTGTTGTTGAACTTCAGCCTCGCTAAATTCTCAGCAAAACTACCATTTGGGCGGAACTCAAAGCCTCTACCCCTTACCTCATCGCTTCTCTGCACCTGAATCGGCGCCGCACCTTTTGCTGAGTGATGCTAACGTTACTTTTCCTGATCTAAGTTCCTCGAGGAGAAGAGCTCACAGGAAACCTTCAACAGGAATTGTACGTTTTCGCTTCATTTTCTATTTTTTTCTGTGACCGTCTTGTGAGAAGAGGCAAAAAAAGTGTGGTCCTGTGGTAATTATAATGATAGTATTGCTTAAAGGTAAAGCAAAAGATCTCGCGTGACGAGCGGTGTGTTTAAGGCAAGTAAAGATGCGCCCAGTCTGATGTGAACCATCTTAGTATCTAAAGGAAAAAAAATAACAAAATAATAACGTAATATATCTTTTGATATAAATAATTTTTTATAATAAATTTTAATCATTTTTTTTTCTATTTTTTAATATTAATTTTTTACTATATTTTTTATTTTTTCTAGTTATAATACAACGAGCGTATCCCTTATTTAAAGTTAAATATCTTTAAAAACTGCCTATATTTTTTATATAAAATAAGGAGGAAGGAATGGAATAATGATAGTATTGCTTAAAGGTAAAGCAAAAGATTGCAAATCTTTTTATCTCAGTTCAATTCTGAGTGCTATCGGTTGTGACTGTCTGACTCAGGCTGGACGTTTAAAAAATATATTCTCCAAAATCAAAAAGTTTTTCAGCAAAGAATCTCTGCTGCAGAAGGCACAAGTAGACGAGGCCATTGATGCCTACGTAGCATCACCAGAGGGCTCCCGTAAGACCGAGAAGCAACAACACCTTTTCGTTGCTCGCAGATTTAGAGCAGAGACGCATTACAGAAAAATACTCAATATTTGTAGCCAAGCCTTGTTGAGTGGGAATGCTAGGGGCTTTACTTGCACATTGACATCAACGAGTGCACAGTACGATTAGGTTTTCGTAGGCTTGGACTTTCTGTGGACTTTCCATGTGAGGGTGTGAATAGTGACTTCGACACTCTAAGCCAACGATTTCAAAATGTCCTCATCTCCGTTACGTTGTTCTCTCTTCTTCTCAGTTTTTAATTTGTCCATTTGAATTGTCTCTCAGGCACTCTGGTTTGCGTGGTAGCACATACTGAAGATGAAGCAAGGAAAAAAGGCTCGAAATTTTGCGCAAAGTTTAAGGAAGAGCATATAAGAGCAATATGCGACAAATACATCGACGAAGCCATTTTCATACTGAGAGCTGCAGCAGAAAAATGCAGCGCACCTGTAAAAGGCGGTAAGTATGAGCATAGCGTACATTTTCTAAAAGTGCAAATTATAGCTGCATTCCTTTTAAGGAGCTGCCTCTTTGACGCTGCAGAAGGAGGTGGAAAGAAAGATATGAATACACTGGTGACAACATTGTGGAACTCCAGCTGTTCTTCTGCCTAATGCAAGAACAAGAGGGAACTTGGCTGTTTGAAATCTTGAGCGGTTCTTGTGTCCGTGCAGACTGCCTTCTTCAAAACCTCCACTTACCCATTGTCCATCCCCTTCTCACTGAAAGAACAGGTAATTGGAAAACTCGGCGATTTGGTTCGGCTGAGTAATTTATTCTTGAAAGCCTTCCCACATTCTTTGTGTCGCCTTCGCTTGGTGTTCTGTTCCCTAGGGCCTTCTGAATACCACTTGAAGGACGTCAGTATTCCTTCCTTTTCTCTTGAGGACTTCTCTGAATCAAGCCGCTGGGAACAAATCATGAAGCTTGAGAATCTCTATTCTCCTGACTCCCCGACACGTTGGACTCTCCACGAGAGGGTTAAACGAGAAAGCACGCGGTTAAGCAAAAAAGCCACGAAAAAAAGCAAGAAGCAAAAAGACAAAGATTTGTATTTTTGGGTAAGGAGAGGCACAGAAAATACGAGAAACAACGGAGGCACATGAATCAGAAAAAGGGAGAGTGCTATTGAAATCCTATAGCTGCTAGTTTTATGTGTTTCAGCCTGTGCTTTGCATTTTGTTTTGCTGTTTCTCAGAGAGCATGGCAGCTGGTGGCTCACCTGCTTGGCAGCAAGCCGCACGTGGACACGTTGCTGGTCCGTTTAGTCCTACTTTTTCTCTCTTTCAAGAGCTGCTCGAAGAAGAAGATAGTACTGACCATCAAGGGGAGAAAGGAAAGAGCAGCTGCTTCGGACACGAGACGGAAAGCGCTGCTAAGTGCATTTGCTGAGAGTTTGCACATCCGAGACTGCACAGCAAAGCAGGAGGAATTCAACTGTCAAGTTCTGTCCAACTTTATCGCTTTAGATTCCCATTTAAAAGCTCAACTGCAGCCACTGAATGAGATTAATACTCCTAAAGCTACTATACCGGCTTTTGTACTCAAAAAGGATGAATCAAATGTGTCGAACATCAGTGGCGCCAAGCAACTCACAGAGGAAATTGAAGAAGATTTGGAGGCAGATGTAACTTACGGTGAGGCTTTCTAATTTCAATCTTCGCTTCTTCTCTTTGCATATGAGTGCTCGTATAGACACCAAACCATTCGTATGAAGCAGACGTAAAAAGAAGATGTGAAGCGTCTTCCTCCTCCTTGTTTTCGTGTATCTCGTACATCACCCCTTGCTTTGTGTTTCTTTTGTCCTTTCTCTGCTCAGCAAATACAGTGGCCGCGTCAGTGGGATCGAAGTTAATGGACGTAATTGCCAAGTCGCGTATAGCCCGAGTGGTCATGGCTTCGATCGTGAGCGGCGTCTTGCGCTTTGTGGATTCGTTCAGAGGCAGCAAAAAGAGCAAGACAGAATCCGCCTCCAGCACACGCAGGGCATCAAAAATCGTAGCAGCAACAGCACAGCCAAGTGCTCAAGCAAGCAGCAAAGCCACAATTGCTGCTATCGCCTACCTGATGGGTGCTTCACGAGCTGCCTCAGTTTACCTCATGACTGCGAAGAATGGTCTCGCCGAGCTCCAGGCTGCCATTGTGCAACGTGTGCTGAAGAGTAGACTAATGAGAGAAAGAGCAAAACAAAAGCCAAAGCTGTCCATTAAAGACAGGCTGAAAAGCATACGTAAATCCGGCCGAAAGGAGGCAGGAGCCCAGTCATTCCTTCTGTCATCTTCAAAACTCTACCCCGAGAAAAGTTTCAAGAAAATGTCAGCAGCGGCTGCTTGCGGTAGGCTATGCAAGCTAATAAGTGCCTCGTATCTGCAGTCCGTTGAAGAAGCGCAGGGCATTAGCACAACGGGAAAGTTGCTGCTAGCTGGGGGAGCCTTTCTCTTCATCGGCATATCTATGTTGGGTACTGTAGTCCCTGGCGGTCTAGTCGCAGGCCTTATAATTGCGGGTGTTGTTGCTCTTTTGATTCCTTTAATCAAAAGGGTAATGGAATTTTTATCCGGTCGCGGTGGTGGCAAAGCCGCAGAAGCCGCAGAGGGAGGAGAAGAGGAGGAACTAATGGGTGGGGGCGAAGCAGAGCCAGAGCCAGCTCAGGAAGAGGAAGAGGAGTAGAATGGAGTATATTCATTTGGCCAAAGCTTGGAATGAAACTGCTCATGAGGTCAACACGGATAACTATTCAGGACTAACGCTTACTTTGGGGTCAACGAATGAGTTTTCAGACCCTTCCAACTCAAAACTTCTAGTTTTTAGGGCTCTAGCTCTGAATACCTAGTGGAAATGGTATTTTGTTCAAGGGTTAGTGGAAAGGGTTAGTGTAAGTCCGGTGTTCGCTGCCTTCATTCACCGAAGTCAACCAAATTCCTATCATGCCAGCTCGAGGAAAAAGAGCAGATCAAATTAATTGTTTTGACTGCTATTGTACTTGCTACCATATGCGCACAAATATTTCTTCATAGAAAGCGTCGCACAACAGCGGAAAAACACTATCTAACAAATTTTCTTTGTGGTGACTCATGTGCAAGTAGTTGCAGGGGGGATAGATCCAGAAGTTAGTGCATTGAGGGATGCGTTATATTTGTTTACGTCTTTTATTTCAAATATACTACTTCTGAGCCTTCCGAGAGTTTTAGGGCCGAGAACCCTTGAGGGTTCTTTAATCTGTCGGCTATCACTGGGACACCACCGATACCAACCAGCAGCCGAGGCTTTTTAAACAGTTAAAAGCTAAAAGATGTGCTTGAATCTCGTTCAAATGATAAACGCACTACTTATTTCAGTTATTTTATTAGTTTCCAATGAGCAACTCACTTCACACACGCATGAATCGACAGCCGTCGCAAGAAGCCCCCCAAGCAACAGCATGAAGGAAGGGCAAGAGGGAATAAAACAGTGAGAACTTGCTGAAATTAAGCTTACATAATTTTTTAAAGCTTGATAATGAAGTATGGTAGGGGCATTGCCGCCCTAGAGTGAGTGATGTTTCGCTACTGTTCGCGAGCACTGGCCTATAGTGAGCCAAACGGTAGCTAAAGGCAGGGAGATTCGCCGTGAAATACTGCTTTAAGTGCAATCTAATCTGACACACCCATGCAAATAATTTAATAATATAAGGAAAAGACGAATTTAATCATAAATCACTGTTTTGCGTAGCTGAGACGTAATTACTGTTTTTCTGAAGACCAGCAAGAGCAGGCGGGTGGTAGCAGCCAGCCAGCCTCTGCGGTCAAGCTGTTTCACTGCGACTAAGCCGCCTCAGTAGCAACTTTTCCAATTGTATCAATAAATTAAACGTGTAACTTACGCTTTATTCGAATATCATTGACTTTCTGCGCCAGAGTCAGCCTCTAGATCTCAAAATGATTCGTCCCAGGCACCGTATCGGCCTGGCCGTGAGAAACCCTGTGAGCCGTATGCTGTGGCTCATTGCCACAGCTCTCATAATAATTGTACCATCATTAGACACATGCATGGCGGTTTCTATTGTTTTTCATAAGCTGGAGACGCCTCTGCAGGGAGAGAGCCTCTTGGAAACAGCAGAACCAGCAGATTATGACATAGAGAGCGGCGCTGACGAGAACCTCAGCTTTATTCAGTCTGCCAAGCTGGAAAAACTGAAGGAAGTTTACAAAGTGTTGAAGAAAGAATTTAAGAAGAAACACTCGAAGGAAGAATTCTTGTTGCTGAAGTACCATGCCATGAACATTGCCCTTAAAAAGGCGAACGAGAAAACAGGAAGTTCATAAACACGTTCTTGTTTCATGGCTGCATCACCAAAATGTGCCTTCTTTACTTCTATCTTTAATTATCTTTAATTCTCTGGATTGCTTCTTTTCTGCTCTCTTTAATTCTCTGGACCAGCTCAACGCGTCTTGTGCACTGCGAAGGCAGGAGCCTCCGGTGCTGTCTTCAGGCAAAATATTTCGACTTAGCGAGTCCTTGGAAGCTTAAATTTATCGCCGAATCCAGCTAGAGCCATACTAATGGACCTTTTCTTTTTTTTGTCACAAGAACATTCAGTGTCTCACTGGAAATGTTTGCTGACGGGCGCAAAAGGCGTTTTGGCTTTCTTCTAAGCACAGTGCAATACTGGGAGATCAGCTGTCAGCGCCGCCAATTTTTAATTTTTTTGCTCCCAATTTTTTATTTTTTTAATTGCATGAACAATTAATGGTAGTGTGACCTCATGTGCACTGCATGCTCTGTGTAACCATCGGTTTTTTTGTCAAGGTGACCGAAACTGGACCCATTACAAGTAGGACTTGAGTTGAGATCCCCAGACCCCAGGTCACAAAACCCTGAAAAGAAGCTTTCCCTTAGTAATCCTACCGAGAAACTTGTGAGCTAACGAAGAAACGACAACAATGAGTGGGCGTCAAGTCTAGATCAGTGCAGAGGCATCCGACAGCTTAGAGTAAAACAGATGGTATCAAACTTTCCCGCGTTCTTTTTGCTGCAGGTTATAAATGAAAAGCAGCATTTGCCTCAGCAAGCACAAACAGGAAAGTCTTGAGAATGATTAAGATGAATCCAACAGTTCCTTTTCCTCCACTGGTTGCATCGGCAGAGTCGCATGCAAGTTGACAGGTTCCTTGGTTTGCCGTATCTGCCAGTTCGGGCTTTCTATCATAGGGAAGACAAAAGACACAAAATTATAATCTAAAGGAGCCAAATTTGGAGCAATAGAACATGAATTTCCTAAAGCTGCAAGAGAGAAAGGCTAAAGAACACTTTCAAGTGCTCCAGTGATGCCTTCTTTGATTTTTTTGTCACAGAGAGTGCTTACGTCAGGTATTACCTGGCGCAAGGGCTTGGATACAGGAAATCGAAGAGGTAAAACGAAACACTGAGACTCAGTAGGGTGCTTGAAAGTCAATTCCATAAAAGTTCATTCAAAATGCCTCAATATAGGGCTAAAAGATAAGACGAAACATAAAAGGAAAGAGCGAAAACGCATCCTATAGGATTTGTTGTCTGGATACCATTATTTTTCCCGTTTCCAACTTTCTAGTCCTTCAATTTGCAAAAGGTTTGCAACTCATGTACCATTTTAGCTGCTTCCTCTGGATAAATAAGTACCCTTTTAGATTCAGCTTAATGGGAAGTTCAATGCCTAGAGAAGTTCGTGACTCTTACTCTACTAACTCTTTGCAGAAGTTTGGAAGACTTATTTCAATGGGAAAAAGTTGAATGCTTGGCTCTTTGATGAATTCAAACAAAAAACTATTTCCCTCATTAATGCAATACAGAAGGCCTCCATTTAGAATCTCTTTGGAGGAAAAGAAAGCATGCTTGCAAAGGAATGAGCCATGTCCAGCTCGCTGCCTGTGTTGGCAGTTGAGCTTGCAAAGTTTGATTTTGTTTTTGCAATTTGATGAAATTCTCATCATTAGATCTGAGAGCTGAGAAGGATTTCAAGAGCCAGAGCCTCTGGCTTTGGCTGCAACTGAAGGCTACCTTAAATTGCCTCTCTGGTGGCCTCAAGAGCATTTTTTTGACATTTTTCAAGTTGAAAAAAAGAGAAATATAAAACTAAATTTTCTCAAGGCTACAATTAACTTGCTAGACTTCTCCAAATAAGGCATGCAGTATCACCGCTGAAGCAAAGCTGTGCTATCCAGGGCTGATCAAGTCTTTTGCTCTCTGATTGTTTGAAAGCTCTGACGATTTAATTGACAAATTATATTCTAGTTCTTCATGAGCAGCAGATGCATGTAAACTGACGCATAAGGAGGTTGATAAACTTCTTAAAGGTACTCTGTTTTGTTAAAATCTGTTTTGCTTTCCGTTTTTTAACTACACGAGAGCTGCGGGTTCTAGCTGCGTAGTTAGTCTTGCTGAGAATTTTAAAAATTGAATTTTTTATTCTGGTTAAATCTGAGAGTGTAGTATGAAGACCTTCAGATGTACGAGTGTCGAAATGGCCAGCACCAGATGCAGCAACTGCCAATCTCGACTTAACGTAAAATGACTTCATGTAATCACAAAAATGAAAGAAAAGTGCATATCCGAGCAAACTAGAGCCTTCAAAAATATATTTCAGCAAAAAACTGATGTGATCTGACATGAAAAAGCAAAAAAAGTGAAATTACTAGATCTGCGCTCTGTGTAACTCGAGTGTAAGCAGACAGACCAGTGGACTGCACGAGTGGTGGCGCCATATGCATTAAAAGTGAATATATTCTTATTAATTATAATTATATAATTAGTTTGCATAAAAATATTAAGAAATTAGGGAAAGTATTTCCTTTTTAATTGGTTTTCCCCAGTGCTCACTCCAGCAGCGAGGAAGCCGGCACACACGCACTGTGTTGCTGTGATCACTCCAACTCCCAAATTGCCATAAAAAAGGATTTTTTGCCCTTAAAATGCTCATTAAAATGTTGCAAAAGACACATGCACTAATTCTGGATGGTTGAGTTTGCATAATAGGTCTTTCTGGACCAGTTTCGAGTTTCAAGTTGTCCAGCATCAAGTCTCGTGCGTGGAAACGCACAAGGAGTGTGCGACCCATATAACCAGCCGAATAAGTAGGCACCAATTGAAGAATTGAACTGCATTCAATTAATGCAATTTGAAATATATTTCGCAATTTGAAACTTCAAGAAGATTCGGAAGAAGACAGCGCCGGGGGCTGTTCGGGCGCGCGATCCTGAGGCCGGCGGCTGCAGCCAAGACCGCTGCGGGTGTCCTGCGTCTTCTGCTTCGACCCGCATCCTGCTGCAAATTTGATTATAAATTTTAAAAAGAACTATTAAAACTATTTTTTTCCAAGTTCCAGCCAGCCCCTGCAGCAGCAACAGCAGCAGCAGCAGCGGCAGGGGCGTCGGCAGCGTCGATGCGGCCGCGCCGCCACGAAAATGCGTCTTCAAGAATTTTGTCTTCGCCGAAATTCTAAAACTTGAATTTTTTTGCTTTGCTGCAGCGCAGTTTGGCCCATGGGGCTGCTCCTGGGGGCGCTGCTGGCGGCCCTGCTGGCTGGCTGGCTGGGGGGTCTGCCGGGGGCCTTTGGAGTTCAACTTAAACTGAACTGGAAGCAGCAAAAAGACTTTTTTGAGAAGTCTGGAGAAGTGGAAACGAAGTCGCCGGAGGCCCCAGACGCCGCTGAGGTGTACGTACACCCCAACTCCGACGCCCCCGAACTGGACAAGAAGTGGCAAGAGGCCCCCGACGCCGCTGAGGTGTACGTACACCGCAATTCAGACGCCCCCGAAGAGCCCCAGCAGCAGCACAGCAGCTACTTCAGTCTTGTTCAGCTTTTTGGGGGGGACAGCGAGTTGAAGAAGCTCAAAAAGACTTACAACAAACTCAAAAAGAAGTATTTGAAAAAGTATTCCAAACAAAGATTTGAACAACTCAAATACCAAACTATGATCACTGTCTTGCAAAGAATGGGCTTTGTGCCCTAAGGCCTGTCTCCCAGTTTGCTGCAGCTCACTGCTGTTTGCTGCAGCTGGACACTAGCAGCAGCAGCAGCTGCTGCTGCCGTCCAGCTAGCAGCAAACCGCCAGACGCAGAGGCCAGCAGCAGCAGCAGCAGCAGCAGCAGCAGCAAGCTGAGTCGACGCGCAGCGCCGAATGTATGCATGCGGCTTCCCTGCTGCTGCTCCAGCAGCAGCAGCGCCCCAGCCACTTTCATTGTTTTCCTCAATTTTTCCCAAAGTTCTTTCAGTTTTGCTGCTGCAGCAAGATAAATGTATTCTTTTGTGTCTTTAATTCTTTAATTGCAACTCACCAGGGGCCCCCTATTCGGGGGGCCCCCCAAAAGACCCAACAAAGGGGGGCCCCCAAGAAAGAAACTCCGGGGGGCCACCTGGGGGGCCCTTGAGATCTAGCGCATGCAAATAGCAGCAGCAAAGAGTTTGGAAATGTTTGGGGCTTTCCCTCTTTACTTTTTAAGCTGATTGAGCCAGTAGGCATCCGGGTCGTCTTCTGCGGGCTTGCTGCTGCTGCTGCTGCTGCTGCTGCTGCTGCTGCTGTGGGCTCTTTTTGCCTTTCTTTCTTCGCGACTTTGCTGCAGCTGCGCGCGCTGAGACAAATAAGTGGGGCACTCCGACTGCAGGTGGTAGATGGAGCCGCAGCAGCGGCAGCTGCCGCCCTTGGGGTACTTCCCTGCAGCAGCAGCAGCAGCAGCAGCAGCAGCAGCAGCAGCAGCAGCAGCAGCAAATGAAAAGAAATAAAAGAAAAACTAAAAAAGAAAAATAAAATTTACTCACCCGTCTTCGACTCTGGGCACTGCGACGAAATGTGGCCTTTCCCGTTGCAGATGAAACACAACGCAAAGGGCAGCGACCCGTCCTGAAAAAAGAAAACAAATTAAATTAAATTAAATTAAATCAAATTAAATTAAATCAAATTAAATTAAATTAAATTAAATTAAATTAAATTAAATT